CACTTGTTAGTTGCCCAATCCTACTTGTTAATTTTTCAAAGCCCTTTACAAACCATAAAACTTGTTATTTGCCGAGCTCTACTTGTTACTTGACTAATAACACTGATTAATGTATGAATAGTAATCAACCATAAATGTCATGTTAATTATATAATACAAGTTGCAAATTTCAATACTCCACCTAAAATATGTTTCATAATGTGTACATATGTATTAAAATTAAACCTGATTGCAAAAGAGCAATTACAATTGTCAAAAGATTACAAGTCGCAATGACATAAAAGATTTTGAATAAGATCATCGCCTTTTTTTTGGATGGCTCAACACTTGAAATGAGTGAATGGGTTTCTACTAATTTTGCATTACATGGATGGTCCACAAGCCACAAAATAAGTCAACTCTTAAGGAAGCTGACTCATCCTATAAAACATTTATGAACAAGGTTAATACATTTCCAACTTTACTTGCAATAACTTTAATAATATAATATTCAATTACATCCTTAAAGCTATACTTGTGTATATTTAGGCATTGTGTAAGTTGGCTAGTCCTTATGCTTTTTGTTAGGCGAGTATTTCAACCATGTTATGACATGAAGGTCACATTCATGTCTGCATTGTGTAATTTGAAAACAAGGTAAGGCTAAGATGGCAGACCAATTAATAACAATTTAACATTCAAACCATAAATTTACATGGTTTCTCATTTATAAATTGCCTCAATTGCGACCTCGCAGTTAGGGTCATTCTCAAATAACTTTAACTTAACCATTATCAATATTTGAATGAAATTGTCCTTCTGCATGATAAAATTTATTAGCATGAGCTCAATAAAATTTCATAGCATGAATGTATTAACACATTTGATCTTACACAGCCTTTAGCCATCATTCTTTTTCCATGAGTCACCAAATCTTTAGTTGCCTTCTTCACTTTCTTTCCTTCCTTATCAGTCTTGCCTTCCTCATTACCTATCATTAAGTCCATCATATAAAATTTGTTCCATCACAAAGTAGAACTAATGGTTAGCAAAAAGCATTGGTGCAAATATGTACTCACACTCTCATATGTTGTAACCTATATACTTTGGCATAATCTACTTTAAGTTACTATCCAAATTTCAACGTCTTGGATTGCAAACCATTTATTCCTACAACAATGCATAATGTCAAAAAATACTTCTATTAAACAAAATCCATCTAGATAAAGTAAAAATACTATATTTCACCATAAATTCAGTATCAAATATATGCCGCTTCACCCCTGAAGCATGTTTCTTTTGCTTGCTAATTAGGGTCTTGCAGATTATGGACATAATCTACATGACCGAACAGCATGTTACTTTCACATTAAAGAAATTAATCCATGCTTTAACATAAAAGACCCTACTAACTTGGTTACTAATCTATTGGCCAGGACCAAAATGACGGAGTTCACTACGTGTTAGATAATATCCAAACATGTCCACTAAGATTCTACAGGAGACACGTAACAAATAAAAAGTATTTAAATTATTATACTTAATAGGGAAGTACTTTAATTGGTAAAGTGATTGGACTTACTTTTTACCATCCTTTTCTCCACACCATTTTAAGCACACAAAATATATAAGTTCCTTCTCACTTGCTTTCCTTTTTCAGGGATAGGTAACCAACTATGGAGATTTGATGTGAGACTTTCTCTCTCCCTGTGATCTCCTCACCATTACAGGTTTTATCCTTTCACCCCCTCTTCCTTTCCCTGAACTTCCTCCTCCTTCTGCACCTCCTCCTTACGTCCTTTTCCTTATCTTCTTCTTTGTCCTTCTCGTTTTCTTCTTCCTTCTCACTCTCCTTCTCTTCCTTATCTTCTTTTTTGTTCTCCTCCTCCATCTCCTCCTTAGCATCCTCTTCCTTATCCTCTTCTTTATCTTTATCATTGTCTTCTTCTTCTTCCTTCTTCCTTATCTTCCTCCTCTTCTTCGCTCTCGTTACTCTGTTCTTCATTTTCCTCCTTTTCTTCTTCTTCTTTATCATTGTCTTCTTCATTCTTATTCTCCCTTTTTTGCTTATCTTCTTTGTCATCGTCACTCTCTTCTTCATTTGCATCATCATCCTCATTATCCTCCTCTTCCTCATCTTCATCCTTCTCTTCCTTGTGGTTGTTGTCTTCCTTTTCTTCTTGCCTAACCCTCTAAGATTGATACTTTATTAGCTCCTTATCAATATAATTCATAATAAAGTTGTCATCTTAACATATAAATCTTTCAAATCCTACCACAAACACATGTGTTACAGATTTGACAGCTAAAGTAAGCAAATTAACAACTATCATTAAATAATTAACAAGTGGTATAACTGGAATGTTTTTTTCACTTGGTCATGAAAGGACAATGCTGAGATATTGATAATTGAAGAACTCCTTTGACTAGTGGCAGGGGAATACAGAATCCCATGGTTGCTCTTCCTCTCCAAGTTCACTATTTCACTTACTCACTTTTCAGTCCAATATTGAAGTGCATCAGTGGGTAGTAGGACACCTTTACTTAAAGTGAAATTTTGAAGAAAACATATATGCAACATAATTTATAACTAACATTACTATTATAACAACTATTATAATTGATATAACAACTAAAATAGCTACATACATACCAGTAATAACAGCACGCAGCCTTAAACATTTTTGCTTCTGCGCACCTTTCCTTTCCTCGTAACCTCCTTGTACTATTGCATTTTTATAGATAGCTCATTCAACGCAAGGCTGGCCTAATCAAACTGTCTTTATGCATACGCTAGGAGAGGCAGTCGGGCAAAAAAGAGTTCCCAATGTGTACAACACAAATAGAAACTCAAAATCATCACTATTTTTCCCTCTACAATTTTCTCTTTCAATTGGGTGTATGATATAGAGTGCATTCTTTCTTTAGCTCATCAATAATATCCTTCTCTACCTCCATTGTCACCTTAGCCCCTTCATCCAGTATGTCCAACAGCTTCCTGACACCTGCACTTGTCAACTTAATGGACTTCCCTCTAATAGTCATTTTTTGTGTTGGATGATCATAAGCACTCATTAGCTTGGCACATAGCTCTCGAGAAATTTTCTTACAACTAATGTCAAGTAATCTCCCAAAACCAATTTTGTCAACATTCTTTTCAACTTTCTGTTTGCTTTCACAAAATCAGCCACCTCTTTGAATTTGCTTGGAGAACATCTCGTGTTGAATGGTAGAACATATTTTTCAGCTTTCCCTTCAACTATTGCCACTTGTCCGTACTGCTCCTTCTCCTTAGCACTAAGCTTTTTCCAAGCTTCTGCAACATGTTTTGTAGTATATTTGAAAGCATGGAACTTTTTGCTATTTTTTTTATGGAATTCTTTTCTAAATATTCTAACCCTAATGATCTGTTCTTTGGGATGCTTCTTTTTAGCTTTTTCATCCACCATTTTTTAATATCTCTAAAAAAATTTACACTTATATTATTTATTCACTACAACTTGTGATATACAACATTCGACCTATAAATTTACTAGCTTTACTTGCTATCAACCTTTACACACTTTACAGACCATTATACTTATAAACTAATAGATATTTCATCCAACATCACTTGTAAATCTTTCATATAAGACTTGTAAATTCCGTAGCTTTACTTGTTATCAAGCTTCACAAAACTTAAAACCAAAAGATACTTCATTCAATATCACTTGTTAGCATCCTGTATAACACTTGTAAATTGCTTAAGTTTACTTATTATTGACCTTCATACAATTTACAACTACCACTCATTCAATTATTAAACATCACTTGTTAACCTCCCATATAACACTTGAAAATTTCATAGATTTACTTGTTATTAAGCTTCATAAGATTTACAACCAACAGATATTTCATTCAATACCACATATTAGCATCCTGTATAACAAGCAAATTGCCTACGGTTCCTTATTATTGACCTTCATACAATTTACAATCAAAAAAATATTTTTTTCAATACTACTTGTTAATTTCGTATATCAATCTTGTTAATTTCCTATATTTACTTGTCATTTTGCTTTCTATCATTTATAAATCAACAACCTCACACATATGTTGTTCAAATACTATGAATAACTAATAAATTATTTAACCACAATTGCAAATCATTAGACTAACTTTATTTTTTTAAAATCATATTTCATTTTCAAAATATAAATCATGTGGGAAAGTAAGGGTAAAAAATTAACACACCCAACAACTAGGAAAATCTCTACACCAAACGGTGACCAAAATTACTATGAAAAGGAAGAGGAATACTGGTGACTGAGTGTATTTGAAAAAGAGAATACTCCGTTTTCTCCCTTGCGTGTATGCTGTCAGTGGTAAAATATGAAATTCCTCAAGAAGGGAGTGACAATGTTAGCAGAAATTTAGTCGAAAATGAGGATGCAAATCGAAAAGTCTCAACCTTGATGAAGACGAATGGAGAGAAGAAGTTGAAGTTGGCGATTCTTTCTTCATAAAAACATCTTTATCGTTCTTCCATTGTCATGCGAAAACTAAACTTGTTTTTTTAGTATTTGCAACGAGGGTAGTTTCATTTTTTCTTTATCAAACTTATTTTCAGTCTAGTTTTAGGAGATTGAATTGAAATTTTGCAATTTCTTAGGAGCCACTTGAAGATATTTTCCTTTCACAATCCTTAAATGAAATTCTCTCTCCTATTAATTAATTTAATTAAGTCCGGTTGGATTCCAATCAGATTATTGACCTTCAAACCACTCAACCAATTTAATTACGGTTCTTTAATATTGATTTGGGATTGATGAGGAAGGATGTTGATACTGATTGATTGGTGAATTCTCTGAGAGGACCAATTATGTAATTTCATAACAAAGGAATCATGCCGCTCACAGCATATCCCCTTATCTATCAGCCCAAGACTCGTCCTCTGAACCCTCACCACCTGTCCCTGGATCCCTCGCGCCATCTGCACCCAAGCTCGGAGCCACCACTACCACTTTTCCTGAAATTACCAGAACACCCTTCTCTCCATGCAGCATCAAAACGCCGCCGTTTTTTCCAGATTCTCGACCTTGCCTGTTTCTTTTTCTTCTCCGTCTTCCTCACGCTTCTCTGCCTTATTTACTCGTCTGAAAAGCAAGAGCCCCGGGGGGAAGAAACACTCCCAGAGACCTTTAAGGTGGAGTGGGTGTAATTGGGTTGTTCTCAAACAAATGCCTGCCTCCTCTTCTCTCAAATCTGGCTGTGAGGATAATGATAACAACATCAGTAATAATAATAATGGCTCTCTTCGTAGTTTCAAGCTGAACGAGTCCACCTTTTTGGCTTCTCTCATGCCCAAGAAAGAGATTGGTGCTGATCGCTTTCTCGATGATCACCCGGAGTACGATGGCCGCGGTGTTGTCATTGCTATCTTCGGTATCTATCCATCCCATTTAGCTCATCAATCACTCACTGCGTTGACTGTGACTGGCCATTTTGTTCGTTTTGTATTTTATTTGTTTTTTGTTCTCTCTCCAGTCATTCTATTGGGTGTTTCCTCGCTTCTTATTCATTAATTTCAAACATTACATATAAGTGGATTCAGTGGCACTTTTAGCTCTGTTGGCGTTGTGCCCGTGTAATGCGCTGCTACTGAGAAAGTTTGGATTTTTATATCAAAACTGGTTATATTCTGACGTGTCTTTGTGCTATGGCAACTATGCTATAATTGGTAGTTTGATACTTCTTTTGAAATATTTGATTGTTTCCAGATTCCGGTGTAGATCCGGCAGCTGCTGGATTACAGGTTACCTCTGATGGGAAACCAAAAATTCTTGACGTCCTTGATTGGTAAGTGGAAGATTACTTGTTGTATTTGTCATTAACAGCTCTTTGGAATTTCTTTTCTAGTTTACCCATAAGTATGCGATGCCTTCCCCTTCAGCACTGGGAGCGGAGATACTGATACCTCAAAGGTGGTGAAGGCTGATGCTGATGGTCGTATCTGCGGGGCATCAGGTTAGTGCCTGTGAATGATCAGCTGTCTGTAATTTACAATGCATGTTAACATGCTAGGAAAACACTCTGATTTTTCAGACTTCCTTCATTAGCTTGTAGCAATTGCAAATTCTTGGACGGTGGCAAGTGCCAGAGAATATTAATTAGCTTTTGACTAACTACAAGGAAACCAATTTGCTAGAAGGATATTTCATAATTTCAATGTTCAGGCTTTCTACAATAGATTGCAATGATTGCGTATGGGAGAACTAACCAAATCTCCTCATGCTCATCCTGTGGTGACTGCCGGCTGGCTATTCTCAAACTAGTACTTGAATGGATTAGTGAAGTGACTATTTGTAGTTTTATACATCTCATTATAGAATAATGAAGGAAGTTTGAAGACAAGGATAAAGCGGCCACACAGGGATTGAGTAGGACAATCTCAATTTTAAGCACTACAATCTATGATCACCCAAAAAACGTACCTGAATCCAGTGACCGATATGTATTTTACTTTTCATAATAGTCCTGTAATATATTAATTTTATTTTGTCCTATAACCCTAATTTATCTCGCATATACTCATGATTTTGTCATGGAATCATTTCCCTCTGGCCCCCTATCTCTCCTGTATGTTTGAGTCTGAGTTTGAGTTTGTGTTCTCTTTAAATATGTTAGTATGAATAATTGAAGTATTGAGCTAATGAGCTCTTGTTTGTGCTTAAATCTCATTAATATGATGTGTAGGGTCATCTCTGGTTATCAATACTTCATGGAAAAATCCTTCTGGTGAATGGCATGTGGGTTATAAATTGGTTTATGAGCTCTTCACAGAAACATTGACTTCTAGAGTGAAGGTAATGTCTTATTTTTATGACAATATTTTAGTACGCTAATCACTCTTTGGACATTATACTCATGGCTAACGTATGCAATTTCCTTACTTTACTTCAAATTTTCATTTGCAGAAAGAAAGAAAGAAAAAGTGGGACGAGAAAAACCAGGGGGAAATTGCCAAGGCTGTGAAAGAACTTGATGATTTTGATAAGGTTTTTGGAAAATTTGCTAGATCCTTCCTAAATATCTCAGTGCTTCAAATTGTATACAGTGTACTCACAACTCTGACAATTTGTGCGGAATAAATAAATAAACATTGAAGGCAAGTTGTTATATGTATCACACACGTAAATCTATGTATAATGTAAAACACTATTCATGGCTTATGAGTAGCGCGGCACATTTCTCATATTCCTTGATTTACACAGGATCCAAGTAATTTGTTATTAATGCGTAATTTTTTCTTCCTGCCTTCCTGCTCCTTTCTACTTGCTTGCATGGCAAGATAGGAAAGGGAAAATTCCTCCCCTTCTTGGATGACAATAGTAATGCTGCTTCTGGTATTTGGGCGTAAGACATTTGTAATGTATTCTTCGTGGAAATACTCTAGAGAAAGATTGTTACTTCTCCCTTTAAAAATAAAGGTTTAGAAAGGAGAAATGAAATGAAAAATGTAGAGTAAGACACACAATTATTTCCTTTTGTTTTCCCTTGTGAAAAAAATGATTTTGTTTTTTTTTTTTTGTTTTTTGCTGGCTTCTTATTATTTTCGTTTTTCAACAGATCAATTTAGCATTTAGCTATTATGCCCCTTTGAACTTTGTGATTTCATGAGCCTCGTTGTACCTTGCTTTGCATTTTTATTTTCTATACCATATGATCCTGTGTATGACAAGTTATGATGCATTTTCTAGAAACACATCAAAGTGGAGGATGCAAAGCTGAAAAAGGCTCGTGAAGATATCCAGAATAGACTTGACATTCTTAGAAAGCAGTCTGAGGTGACATCACTTTTATTGCTCTTTGGTCGTTTTCCGCCTTTCCTACTACTCTTTGATAATGGAAATATTTCAGTTAGTTAATGTCATATGATATTCTGGATGAGTTTGCTCTGCCACATATTCTTCAAGATTTTAACGTTTGAGATGTATCCATGGGTTACAATGGTAGAATTATGGTAGTTAGTGATGTAAAATGGTTTCCTTGCAATTTCTTTTGGGATGTTTGTACTCTAGGCTTCACCATGGAAATAACTTCATGTTATTTTGTTGTCAGAATCACCCAATGCCTGCATAAGTGTTTCTTTTCTTTGGATGAGATGAAGTTACTAAGAGGCCAATAAGATAGAAACTTGTTAGAAATCACCGACTAGATCATTAATCCAAAACAACTCTCTGCATGTGTAATTCAATCCTGTTCCACAACACGACGAATTACTTGATGACAAGTCGATGGGTATCTGATATATTTTGGGTATTAAAACTGAAACCAATACGACATATTCTAAATTTATTTCAAACTGAATAATTTTATCTATTTATATATTCATTTCCTTTTGGGAAGGCAAGTTTAGGTCAGGAGGCTCTCACCTCCAAGGAAGCATTCACACACTTGGTGGATGCCTAACTACAAAGCATCGCTGACAAACATCACCAATTGAGCCAACTGCTGTTGGCCAGATGCTTTATTTCTAATAACCAAAACAAAATACCTGATATTGAAGCTGACTAAATTAACTGTAAACCAAGCAATATATATGGATATTGAGTATTTGTTTCAGATACAAGAAATGGGTACCAAGAAAATGCCTGAAATTTGTAACAAAAAATGCATAATTTTACTAATCAGATATTGAATACCTGAATCCTAAACCCATAATTGACCAAAATTAATATGGGTAATGTGCGAAATCTATAGCAGTCATTGAACTAGTAGAGGGAGAAGTTCTTGGTTAACTGGCCAGTGGTTGAAATGGTGGTAAATAATGTTTGTGAGTGTGTGTTTGGCAATCTATTGAACACATGATGCAGAAACATTAATTATATAAGTAGTTTAAGATGAAAATAATTAAGTATATACTCAAGTATTTTAGAGCCCAGTGAATAATTCCATTGTGCATGAAAGAGGTTTACAATTTAAGATCAACATGAGTATAAAGTTGGAGTAGCAGAGATGAGAATGTTGAGATGGATGTGGGGGTGTACACATAAAGATAAAATTTGAAATGAGTATATATAAGAAAAAGTGGGTGTAGCATCTATTGATGGGAAAATAGAAAATTGTTTGACTTGTATGGAGAAGATTGTGGGAGGCACCGGTGAGGAGAGTCGAGGGATAATTTTGAGCTTTGTAAAGAGAGGTAGAAGAAAGCCATAGATAACACTTATGGAAATCGTTGATCGAGACCTCTTAGTTAATAATATTCCTAAAAGTTTGGTAAATGATAGAGTACAATGATGTTGTGCAATTTATATAGCTAACCCCACTTAGTGGGATAAGGCTTGTTGTTGTTGTTCTTCTTGTGGTGGTGGTAGTAGTAGTAAATGAGATAAAAACTCAAATTCCAAAGAAGTATCCGAAACAATGTTGTTTCAATTGCATGAAAAAATTAAAACCAAAAGGCACTTTGTTATCAATTTTGTTAAATTTTATTGAGGCACAAATTCATGTTTTTTCAAGCTACGAGATAATTGTATGTTCTTACTGTCATTGCCCTAACTTTAAAGCTGTAATGCTGCATTGCTATTCTTTTTAGAGCTACGATGACAAAGGGCCTGTCATAGATGCCGTTGTTTGGCATGATGGAGAGGTGTGGAGGGTGGCTCTTGACACTCAGAGTCTTGAGGATGATCCAGATAGTGGGAAGCTTGCTGACTTTAGTCCATTAACTAATTATAGGTACATGGTTGCAATGTCAATATGCATTCTCAATGCTCACCTCAGTTGATATCTTCTTTACAGTCACTCATGGAATTGGCAGATGCACTATAATTTGATAATAATCTCTTGCTTTCATGTTTATATATGCTGTTCGCGCAAGTATTGAGATGCACTTAACACTGTGTTCCTGGTCCTATTTCCATGGATTGAGATGTCAAAAGATGTCTATTTTTTAATAAATAATTTTCGGTCTCTCTTACAAGTCATCATTTGAGAAATTATCTAGTTGGATACTGTGGAGAAATTGTGTGTACAAAAAGACATGCTTCATCTCTACAAAGTTAAGAAAGCAAAATGACAATCTGTTTTGTCTTAATTTCATAGGTTCCTATAGGATCAAATGATCCACTTCAGCTGTATAAATTATGAGTGGAATCTTCGTGGGATGGACAATGCTAGGAGTTCTTTTCTCCTGAATCAGTGATGACATTAGTTTTGATAAATAGGAGGATAATTAGTTTTGACTTGTTTGCTTATATGGTTTTTTATCTTTTAACTGATAGATGAGTTGTTAGTTAGACAGTTACTAGTTTATGACTTCTGATTTTGTTTTGTGAGACTTATGATTGAGTTTTTTTTGTCAATTCCTTGATTATATTTTTTATTTGTGGATCTTTTATGGTCATATTTTGCATAATATTTTTTCCCTTTTGTCTCTGAATTGTTTGATCTGATACTATTTACAATTTGTTATCAAAAAATAGCCTTGATTCACAATTTGAATTGTGATTTGATAAGTATTATTTTAATCTTGATCATTTAAATGTCAACTGATTCATTCAGGACAGAGAGGAAGTATGGTGTCTTCAGCAAATTAGATGCTTGTTCATTTGTTGTTAATGTCTATAATGATGGGAACATCTTAAGTATTGTAACAGACTGCTCCCCCCATGGTACCCATGTTTCTGGTATAGCTACTGCATTCCACGCCAAGGTACTGAAATATAATTGATATAGTGCTAATCTTCAATAAACAATATACGTTTTGATAAATGATACTGTTATTAGGAGCCCTTGTTAAATGGAGTTGCACCTGGAGCACAATTAATATCTTGTAAAATTGGGGACTCTCGCCTAGGTTCAATGGAAACAGGAACTGGTTTGACACGGGCAATAATAGCTGCTGTGGAGGTGCTTCAATTTGTTTTACTCTTTACATGAGTGCATGGTTGTCCTGGATATTCCAACAATTTTATCTTGGGCTTTAAGCATTTTCTAAATTTACTATTGCAGCATAAATGTGATCTAATCAACATGAGCTATGGTGAACCAACATTACTTCCTGACTATGGACGCTTTGTTGACCTTGTGAACGAAGTATGCTGTAGACCTGGCTGTACAATCTTGGTTATTCATATGTTTTCTTTTTTAGTTTCCTTTCTCTAAAAATGCCAGGGATGTTTTGATGTTTTTATATTCAGGCTGTAAACAAGCATCGTCTGATATTTGTAAGCAGTGCTGGAAATAGTGGTCCAGCATTGAACACTGTTGGTGCTCCTGGTGGAACATCTTCAAGCATAATAGGTGTTGGTGCGTATGTCTCTCCTGCTATGGCAGCTGGTGCACATTGTGTAGTAGAACCTCCATCTGATGGGCTTGAATACACTTGGTATGCTTGCTTTTCTGTGAATGCTTTCTCGTTGGATGACTTTCTTCTGACACTCTACTATCTTTCATTTTATTCTTCTAAATTTGCCTTATTATCATTTGTAATTGACAGAAACATTTTACAGGTCTAGCCGAGGACCAACAGCTGATGGAGACCTTGGTGTCTGCATAAGTGCTCCTGGTGGTGCTGTTGCTCCCGTTCCTACGTGGACTCTTCAACAGCGCATGCTAATGAATGGGACATCAATGGCATCTCCATCAGCCTGTGGGGGAATTGCATTACTCATAAGTGCAATGAAGGTTCTGGGATGTGATTTTGTTTTAGCTTGTCAGATTTAGTTGTCGCTATTTTGCATGCAGATCTATAATCTTCTGATATCAATATCTATACTATAAGTACGTGGTTAGGTTGGAAGTAGCTGATTTTGACTGTTAGTTACGCAGTAAACCTTAATTGTACCCTATATCAATAGTAGACAGATGAATGTAAAGAGTTTGAATGATTTGAATGCTAGTGTGTTTATGTTTTGTGATGTACCAACTGTGCAGGCTGAGGGCATTCCTGTAAGTCCGTATATTGTGAGGAAGGCTCTTGAGAATACAGCAATTCCCATAGGTGATTCAGCCAAGGATAAATTATCCACTGGACAAGGGCTTATGCAAGTTGACAAGTTAGATATTCTTCCCAGTCTCTGTCTTTGGGGAAAATTTAGTAAACGGCAACATTATAAGAATTTGGTGTTAATCATTTACTAAATGACAGGGCTTATGAATATCTACAGCAATCTCTAAATGTTCCACGTGTTTGGTATCAAGTAAATATCAAGCAATGTGGAAAAAAAAGTAAGTCTATATTCTTTCATTGTCATCCCACCGTCCCCTTTCCAGAAAAAAAGGGGACATAATCTTGTGGCTTACGTGCAGTGCATTGATCTGTGTTTATGCAATTGTAGCGTGTTCTGTTCCGTACATAATTAACTAGTTAGGTGGAATTAGATAATACAGTGTCCTGGTTCTTAGTTACTTGGAATAGGTTTCCAATCACTTGAGAAGTTAAGATGTGTTTTACCTATGACTACCTAAAGAGGGTGTGAGGAAAGCTCTGTATATACTGTTAAATATTATGAATTTGATGTTTAGAAAATTTGTGCAATTGTATGTACTTGTAGGTAATGATTTGAGCTTTTTTCTTGCCTTTAAGTGAGTCTAAGCGCCCTCCTTGTGGGAGATCTATTTGATATATGGCACATTTAATGTTCGTTTTTTTTTTTAATTTGTCAGAACAGAATTAATTTTCTGTAAGATCCCAGCCGAACTTGAAATAGTTGGAAGAGCCATCTAGTTTCTCCTATAGATGTTTTAATCATGATAGTTATTGTCTACCTTCAAGGTTTGGCCATTGAAAACCTTTAGTCACTATTTAAAAAATCAGCTCAATTTGAATCAGCTTCAATCTATGATTTGTGTATTTGTAAAAAAACTTCACTTGTTATAAGTTTTGTATTTGGAAAAATTAGCTTCTAATTTGGTTCGCTGTTGATGATAAAGTTGAACTAGTATTGCAATTTGAGTGCAAACCTAATGACAACTTTAGGATTAAGAAACAAAATTCAAATGTTGACAGAAACAATGTCCTGACAACTCCTTCACCCACTCTTCAAACATGTCTAGACATGTTTCTCCTTGCATAATGTTGACTTCTGCACATGATATAGTTCCTTTGGAATTTGAGTGAAAATATTTCTCATTGATTCAGAATATTGAAATACAACTAGGTATTTATACATTAGGATGAGAAAATAATAATAATGACTAATAGCTACTAATAAAGCCTAAGAATATTTACAACAACAATAATATAATATTTACAATGAATGTCTAATATTTCCACACTCTCCATCAAGTTGGATCATATATGCTAGTCATGTCTAACTTACTTATGCAATTCTCAAAAGCAGGTCTAAGTAACCCTTTAGGCAAAACATCAACAGCTTGCAACTTTATGGTCAAATATGTCAAACATAGAATTCCTTCTTCCACTTTTTTTCTGACGAAGTGTCGGTCGATCTTAACATGTTTAGACTTGTTATGTTGTACTGGATTTAAGGCTATGTTTATGGCAACCTTATTATCATAGTAGAGCTTCAATGGTGAGCTTGCTCCAACTTTTATCTCATTTAAGATTTGTTTTAGCCATAACTCCTCAGTAATTCCTTGAGCCAAAACTTTCAATTTAGATTTAGCATTGCTTCTAGAAACAAGTCTTTGCTTCTGGCTTCTCCATGTCACTAAATTTCCCCACACAAATGAACAATAACCAGAGGTTGATCTTTGATCTTTATGTGTTCCACCCTAACTTGCGCCAGTGTACACTTTGATAGATCTTTGCTCATGTTTTCTAAAGAACAAGCCTCTACAAGGAGTACCTTTCAGATATCTCAAGATTCTATATGCTGCCTCCATATGACTCTTCATTGGACAACTCATATATTGACTAATTACATTGACAATGAAGGCTATATCTGGCCTTGTATGAGGGAGATATATCTTTTTTCCATTAAGCTTTTGATATCTCTCTTTGTCAGCTGTTGCTTCTTTTTCTTTGACTTCCCCCTCCTTTTCTTCACCTTCATCATTTACCTTAAGCTTCTTCTTTGTTTTTTCATCTCAATGGGTGTTTCAATAGGTCTACAGCCCAACATACTTGTCTCCATCTGGAGGTCAAGTATATATTTTCTCTGAGGAACATAGATTCCTCTTTTTGACTTGGCAACTTCTATCCCAATAAAGTATTTTAGCTTCCCAAGATCCTTAACTTCAAATTCCTTTAAACCAGCCTTCACTCTCTCTATCTCCTTAAGGTGATCTCCAATGAGTATTATGTGATCGATATAGATAATAAGGATACATTTTTTGCTTTCCTCGACTTTAACAAATATTGTATGATCCGATAGAGCTTGCTTGTAACCTTCGGACTTTAAGACTTTTGAGAACTTATCAAACCAAATCTTTTGGTGACTATTTCAAACCATATATAGATTTTTTCAGTCTACAGACTTGATTTTCTTCGCCTTTATTAAACTTACAAGGTAAAGTCATATAGACTTCTTCCTTCAACTCTCCATTTAGAATAGCACTTTTGATGTCAAGTTGGTGAAGAGGCCACTCAAGATTAGCTGCTACAGATAACAAGACTCTGATAGGATTCAATTTTGCCACTGGAGCAAATGTTTCATCATAGTCTAGGCCATATGTTTGGGTGAATCCCCTTGCAGCCAAGTGTGCTTTCAGCTTGTCAAGGGTTCCATCAACCTTGTATTTTGGGGTGAACACCTACTTACAACTCACTGTTCTCTTTCCTTTAGGTAGCTGAACAAGTTCCCATGTCCCATTCTTTTCTAGGGCCCTTATTTCTTTCATGACAATACTTCACCATTCAGGGATGCTTAGAGCTTCTTGTATAGTCTCAAGTATCTTCACTTTATCAAAATTAGCAACAAAGGCACAATATTGAGGAAAAAGTGCATTGTATGAAAGAAATCTCTTTATTGGATGGAAAGTACATGAGTGAGTTTGCTTCCTCAAAGCAATAGGAAGATCAAGATCAGTTGATTCACTTACTTGTTCTGTATCATCCATCTTTGGGGTTTCAGAAGTTGCCCCAAATTCTAAATCTTCATAAGCTTTTGCTTCAGAAGTTGCCTCTGGTTTTGACTCTCTTGGTGCTTTAGGTACAAGTTGCTTACTATCTTTCGGTTTCTTTTTTTGAGTGCAAACACGCAATTCTCCCTTTTGTGGTTTTTCAGCATCTCCTCCTCTGCCTGTGTTCCTCAGGTTATTGCATAAGAGGAGATGGTGGTGCAGGAAGAATAGATGAAGGTAATGGCTCGGTGTAAACCATGGTTCAAAGAGCACTAGTTCTTGGTTAGTTTCTTGATCCCAAGTCTAAGATTGACCCATGTTCTCCCCTTGAATTGAAAGATTGGGATAGAATGGAGTATTTTCATGAAAGGTGATATTAAGGCTAACAAATATGTGTTTTGAGATAGGGTCAAAGCATTTGTATCCTTTATGTGTAACAGAATAGCCAAGGAAAAGGCATTTGATAGCTCGAGGTTCAAGTTTGGTGCTTTAGTGGTTATGGACAAATGTTGTGCAACCAAACACACGAAGTGGAAGATTAGTTTCAATATGAGATGTTGAAAAAACACTTTGCAATTTGTGGAGAGGAGTTTCAAAGGATAAGATTTGACTGGTCATACAAGTGATTAGGTAGGTTGCGGTCAAAATAGCATCCCTCCAATAAAATTTTGGTGCATTGCAAGTAAACATAAGTGCTCTAGCAACGTCAAGTATATGGCGATTGTTTCTTTTAGCAGCCCCATTTTGGTGTGGTATGTGGGCACAAGAACTAGTATGGATAATACCATGCATTTGGAGGAAAGTACTTAAAGATTGATTAAAATACTTAGTGCCATTATCTATGTGTAAGACTTGGATGGTGGTGTTGAATTGGGTTTTGATCATGCTGAAGAAATTGATGAATGTGGATGTAGCCTCAGACTTCTTTCGTGAAAGATAGACCCAATAGACTGAGTATGGTCATCATTGAAGGAAATAAACCATGTTGTTTTAGTACAGTTGGAAGTACAAGAAGGTCCCCATAAGTCACTATGAATGGTTGTAAAATGTTTGGTGGGTGTGTATCTGACTCTAGGAAAGGAAGTTCTATGGTGTTTGGCAAGTTACACACTTCACATTGAATGTTATTAATATCTAGCTTTTGGGTAGAGGGTTGGAAATAAACGTTTTAAGGTAATGAAAATTAGGGTAACCCATTCTCTTATGCCACAACATAAAGGTATTAATTGTAGAGATAGGTGAAGAGTTATTGACAATCGGTGAGTTACCCACTCGAGTGGAGACTTTGAAATAGTAGAGCTCCTTATACTTCTTAGCACTTATGATTGTGGCTCCAGATGATGGGTCTTCAAATACACAATGGGATGGAAGAAACTTAGCATAACAATTTGACTGCTTAGTTAGTTGACTAATGGAAAGTAAATTGCAATCGAGCTTAGGTATATGTAGTACAGATTCTAACATTATGGAATCTGAAATTCAAGTATTCCCTTTTCCTACTATAGTTGCTAATGAGCTATCTGCAATCTTAACTTTAATATTCCTAACACATGGAGTGTAAGTGTTAGACAACTCATGACAATTAGTCCTATGGTCGGAGGCTCCTGAGTCAACGATCCGCACTGTTTTATTTCATGATATTGTTAGAGTTTGAAGGAAAGCCCCTCGTTTAGCCATGTTTGCTTTGTGTAGAGACTCGGATTGGGTAAGTTTAACATCAAAGAGTACCCACAAGATTACGCTGAGGAATATAAGAATTTCTGTATAGCTGAGGAAAAGGGAACACCACATCCTCACAAACAGCGAGTAGTCACGTAGACAGAAGAGGAATATGAAAAACAAGTTGCCTCGACTTGGGCCACATTGGAATCAAACTGGAAATGTCACACTGATGATAGAGGAAGGTGTCGCTAGCCACCTGGTCCTTCACACGCTCCCATGCGCTACTTGGAGCTCTCTAAAGTAGAATCTTCAATCGGCGTGTGGGAGTGCCACGCACTGCCAGTCGTCGTCAAACTCTGGTGTTTTGCTAATTGGACCCTTGCGCACCTTCCTAAGCCAGCGGTGAGATCCAGAACGCCCTTTACCACCACGAATAGCAATGGCCAGAGATACTTTAAGGGCCACATTTGATGAGGCATCACCTAGAAAAACCCTAGATGCCCTCAACCAGAGACCTTAGATGCACAGGCTTTGATAGCATGTGGAATTTGAGTGAAAATATTTCTCATTGATTCAAAATATTGAAATCCAACTAGGTATTTATCTACTAGGATGAGAAAATAATAATAATGACTAATAATGATTAATAACTACTAATAAAGCCTATGAATATTTACAACAGTAGTAATATAATATTTACAATGAATGTCTAATATTTCCACAGTTCCTCTGTTGGGTGCATGAGCGCATTTATACCTGTGTTGTTGATAATGTAATGCTGTTGCTGACTAAGTGCATAATAAAGGATCGAAAAAAAATAATGAAATTAAATTAAAGATGTTTACATATGCTTGTAACTTGCTTTTTACAAACTTTTACGTCAAGCAAAGATTGTTTATGTGAAACTGGGAAAATTGAATTGTTATCTGTTTGCTGATGGCAGATCCGTCATCACGAGGCATCTACTTGAGGGAGGCTAGTGCTTGCCAGCAACCTACTGAGGTGAGGTCTTTTAGAGTATAACTTTGGTGTGCATTAGTGATGACAGTATACTTTTAATGAGGTCTTTACTTTGAAGAATGCCATTTGTACATGATCTTACTTCAAAAAATGGGAAAGGGCAAAACTGAAATAAGATGATAAGATCCAAATTTTAACTCAAGATAGTTGGATAGAATGATTATAAATTAAATATTTACAAACAATGCTAGTTAACCTTTCTTGCCAGGTGACAGCATTTACGCATTTAGTCTTTTCATAATTAGACAAGTGAGTCAAATCACCGTACAACAATTGAGTAGAAAAGTTAAGTAAGGAGGTATATTATGAATCTTGACAACTTTTTACGATGATTCTTCTTTGTTAACAAGTGTAATAATTGGCAATTTATTTTATATTCTCAACATTTTCTTTTATCTTTCATTCCCATTGGCTCCTACCAATAAAGATGAAGGCAAGAGAATGCAATTTAGACAGCTAGAAATGAGGAGAATCATCGGGATGCTCAGTACAAGTGATTCCAAGTGTATATATAATAAGTTCTGTTATCACACAAGTAATATACACTTGCCACATGTTATAACAGAATCCAAACTATGCTCACGCTATAGCGCATGTATATCTGCAATAAAGTGTACGCATGAACAAATATGTAAATCTACATATGCTAATTCATATTAATTTTACATGGCAATCTTGTGATTTTTGTTTCTCATCATGCTTTAGTCATTGTTCTGTTTTTTATCACTATCTTAACAAAGTCAGCCATTGATTGCCATCCCTTTTTTTTTTTTGTAAGTTTAGTTGTAAGTTTAGCATGCAAAAAGCATTCAACAAATCTGTTGGGTTATGTTGTAACCTCAAACTTATCTGGATCCTTATTTGGTTGTCTCTACTTAAAAAAAATTGTATTGATATTGCAAAATTCTTTCATTTAAAACTAAATTTTGATTTTACGATTTTTTATGCTTTCATTTGGTAGTTCTCTGTGTAACTTGTGGTAGTACTCTATTGACAGTGGACAGTGCAAGTCAGTCCAAAATTTCATGAAGATGCCAACAATTTTGAGGATTTAGTTCCATTTGAGGAGTGCATTGAGTTACATTCTACTGACAATACAGTTGTGAAGGCTCCTGATTATCTATTGGTAACTCATAATGGGCGCACCTTCAAGTTAGTCAGCTTTCCTCATGTCTTTCTTTTATCCTTTGCATTTATGTGCCATATATTCCTGTTGATATTATTGTATTTTTCTTCATATGGATTTACTTCAAGATATCCTTCTTTACAACATTGAACAAATGCTATGTTGGTGATTATTGAATAATACCCTAGATATTTACTGATAAAAACCTTTTTTGATGCTTGAATGTATATGCATCATTGCACATGCTGGTATAGAGAAGTCAAAGTGGTTGTGCCAAACTGTTGTATGCTAATCCTAATGAATCAACTAATTGCTCCTTGGAATCTTTTTGAAGCAATCTTTCTATGTCCTCAAACTTTTGGTTTTAAACTATTATATGTGGGAATATTTAATATTTATTGTAAATATTGTCTCCTTTATTAGCATTTATTAGGCATTACTAGTAATTATTAGTATTTATTTCCCCTCTTATATATATAGTCAGTATGTATCTTAGTATTGTATCAATAAGACATACGTTCTCTCTCAAATTCCACATGGTATCAGAGCTTGCATATTAAGTTTAGGGTTTTGTTTATTTTTATTTTTTTTCCCGTCAAAAATCATGAGGTGTAACGTGGTTTTGTCATGCACCAAGATAGAGCCTTCTAGCTCTCATTGTTGGCTAGGGGAGGAAGACTAGGACTCAATTGTTCTAACCTTAGAGCTCTATCACCATTGGCAGCATGTGTGCATCACACACATCGATCTTCATGTCTGTGACAAAGCCCTCTCAGGCACGTGAGGGTGCATGTCATGCCCGCTGTAATAGCGATCACTTTTTCGACAATGATGGAGCATGGTCGACCTGTTGTAATCGTTTCCCAGATGTGGGCGCCTCTTGTATGGGTGCTGATTGTTGTCTATTTGTGGTACTAGTATGAACGGGCAACCCAAACCTATGGTAATTAGACAACATGCTTGGCAAAGCAATTTTTAGTGCAAACATTGAAGGGTTTAGGCCTGGTGGATTTGGTTTACAACGTAATTGTCATATTGTGGATGTGGCTCATGATGAGAAATGCCCAATCTGAATATACTGACTATGGTGATACTGTAATTGTCGGTCAGTTTTTAGATTCAGTGTTTGCTTTTTCAGCTTTAAGAGGTAATTTCCTTCGAGCCGTGACAACTTCAAGAAATAAAACCTTGTGGATTGTCGACTTGGGTGCATCTGATCATATGACAAGCTGTCATCAGTTGTTCACTTCATATAGCCCCTATGTTGGAGATGTTAAAGTAAAAATTGCAGATGGCTCCTTAGCACCTGTAGTGGGGAAAAGGAGTATTTGTATCTCAGACTTTAGAGTGTTGGAATCTGTACTCCATGCGCTTAAGCTTGATTGCAATTTACTTTCGGTTAGTCAACTGACCAAGCATTCAAATTGTTATGCTAAATTCCTTCCATCCCATTATGTGTTTCGAGACCTATAATTTGGAGTGACAATCGGAAGTGCTAAAGAGTATGAGAAGCACTACTATTTCAAAGTCGCTACTCGAGTGGGTATCTCACCAATTATTGGTACCTCTGCATCTGCCTTTAAAGTTAATGGTTTTATGTTGTGGTATAAGAGGATGGGTCACTTTAATTTTCATCATCTTTAACGGTTGTTCCCAGCCTTATGTCCAAACCTCAATATTAAAGAAATTCACCGTGAAGTTTGTGAACTAGCCAAACACTATAGAACTTCCTTTCCTCGAGCCAAATATACACTCAAGAAACTTCTCTCAACCATCCATAGTGACTTGTGGGGACCATTTTGTACACTTTATCGTACTAAAATAACATGGTGCATTTCTTTTATTGATGACCATGCTCATATCTGTTGGATTTATCTTTTAAGAAACAAGTCTGAGGTTACATCCTTGTTCATGAATTTCTTCAACATGATCAAAATCCAGTTCAATACCACCATCTAAGTCTTACACATTGATAATGGCATTGAGTACTTTAACTAATGTTTGAGTACCTTCCTCAAAATGCATGGTATTGTCCATGCGAGTTCTTTTGCCTATACACCTCAACAAAATAGGGTTGCATAAAGAAAAAATTGCCACATCCTTGATGTTGCTAGAGCACTCATGTTTACTTGTAATGTGCTTGAGTTTATAAGGGAGATGCTATTTTGACTGCTACCCACCTTAACCTTGTGCTTAGTCGAATCTTATCCATTGAAACTCCTCTCCACAAATTGAAAAGTTTGTTATCTACATCCCATATTGAAACCAATTTTCTGCTTTGTATTGTTTGGTTGCACAGCTTTTTTCCATAACCATCAAAGCATTGAACTTGAACCTCAAGTTATCAAATGCATATTCCTTGGCTATTTTGCTACTGAAAAAGGATATAGAAGCTTTGAGCCTATTTTAGAACACACATTTGTCAGCTTTGATGTCACCTTTCATAAAAATACTCCATTCTATCCCAATCCTTTAATTCAAGAGGAGAGCATCAATTAGTCTCAAACTTGGAAACAAGAACCTAACCAAGAATTGGTGCTTCTTGGGCCATGGTTTGCACCAACTAAGCTTGCTAAGCCAGTACTACCACCACCTCCTGAGCCATTACCTTCTCTACTTTACTAACGCCAGCATCTACTTCTATGCCACAACATGAGGAACATAGGAAAACAGGAGGAGATGCAGAAAGACCACAAAAGAGAGCATTGTCAGTTTGCACTCGGAAAAAGAAATCGAAAGACAGTGAGCAACTTGTACCTAAAGCACTAAGAGAGTGGGAACCAAATGTATCTCATGAAGCAAAAACTCATAGAGACTTAGAACTGGGGATAACTGTAAAATCCCAAAGTTAGATGACACAGAGCAAATAAATGAATCTACTAATCTTGATCTTCTTTTTGCTTTGAGGAAGCAACCTTGCTCATGTAATTTTCATTTGATAGGGAGGTTTGTTTCATACAATGCACTTTCTCCTCAATATCGGGCCTTTGTTACTAATCTTGATAAGGTGAGGGTAAAGCTCTAAACGTCCCTGAAGTGCGGAGTGCTATTATGGAAGAAACGAGGGCCCTAGAAAAGAATGGGACATGAGAACTTGTTCAGTTACCTAAAGGAAAGAGAACAGTGAGTTATAAGTGGTGTTTACCCTAAAATACAAGGCTGATGGAACCCTTAATAAGATGAAAGAATGCTTGGTTGCAAGAGGGTTTGCCTAGACATATGGTCTGGACTACGAAGAAACATTTGCTTTGGTAGCAAAATTGAACATTATCATAATCTTATTATTTGTAGTAGCTAATGTTGAGAGGCCTTTTCATTAACTTGACATAAAAAATGCTTTCCTAAATGGAGAGTTGAACGAAGTAGTTCGTACAACTATCTCCCAAGTTTGAGAAAGGCAAAAAAACTCGAGTCCATAAATTGAAAAAGTTTTTATATGGCTTGAAATAGTCACCAAGAGTTTGGTTTGATAGGTTCTCGAGAGTCCTAAAGTCCAAGGATTACAAGCAAGCCTTGTCAGACCATACAATGTTTGTTAAAATTGAGGGAAGCAAGAAATGTTTTCTTATTGTCTATGTCAATGACATAATACTCATCAGAGATCATCTTGAGGAGATAGAAAGAGTGAAGGCTGCCTTTGTCAAGGAGTTTGAAGTCAAAGATCTTAGGAAGCTAAAATATTTTCTTAGGATGGAAGTTGCTAGGTTATAAAAAGGAATTTTTGTTTCTTAGAAAAAAAATATATACTTGACCTTCTGAAGGAGACATATATGTTGGGTTGCAGACCTGTTGAAACCCCTATTAAGGTCAAAAAATTGAAGAAGCCTAGAAAAAAGAAGGAAAAAGGGAAAGATCTTGAGGAGGAAGAAAACTCAGATGAGGAAGGTGAAGAAGAGGAGAAGGAAACCGAAGAAAAGGAAGAAGTAGCTAACAAGAAGAGATATTAGGAACTTGTTAGACATTGGTATGTCTTTTTCATATGAGGCTAGATATAGCATTTACTGTCAGTATAGCTAGTTAGTATATGAGCTGCCCAATGAAGAATCATATGGATGTAGTCTATATACTCCTGGTAGAGGGCTATTCTTCAGAAAGCATGAGCAAAGATTCATTGAAGTTTACACCAATGCAAGTTAGGGTGGGACCTATGAAGATTAAAGATTAACCTCTAGCTATTGTTCGTATGTGCAGGGAAATTTAGTTACATGGGAAAGTTAGAAGCAAAGAGTTGTTTCAAAAAGTAGTGCTGAATCTGAAATGAGAGCTTTGGCCCAAGGAATAAATAAGGAATTGTGGTTGAGACGAGTCTTGAATAACATCTAGGCTGGAGCAAGCTTACCATTGAAGCTTTATTGTGATAATAAGGCTTCTATAAGTATGGCCTTAAATCTAGTGTGACATGACAGGTCTAAACATGTAGAGATAGACTGACACTTTTATCAAAGAAAAAGTGGAAGAAGCAATTCTATGTCTGATGTATTTGCCTACAATGTTGTAATCAGCTGATGTTTGGACTAAAGGGTTACTTAGACCTGTGTTTGAGAATTCCATAAGCAAGTTGGACATGATTAGCATCTATGATCCAGCTTGAGGGGGAGTGTGAGAATATTTAATATTTAGTGTAAATATTGTCTTCTTTATCAGTATTTATTGTTTATTATTAGTATTTATTGCCCCTGTTGTATATATAGTCAGTATGTATCTCAGTACAACAACAACAACAACAAGAAGCCTTTATCCCACTAGGTGGGGTCGGCTACATGGATTGCAAGACGCCATTGTGCTCTATCATTTATCAAGCTTTTAGGAATATTATTAATTAAGAGATCGCGTTCAATAACTTCCAAGAGTGTTCTCTTAGGCCTTCCTCTACCTCTCAATCGGACTCAAAGTTATATATTTCATTCTTCTCACTGGTGCCTCCCTTGGTCTTCTTTGTACATGCCCAAACCATCTCAACCGATTTTCTACCATTTTTTCCTCAATAGGTGCCACCCTCACTTTTTCTCAGTATTGTATCAAAAAGGAATACTTCTTCTCTCAAATTCCATATTATAGATCCATGATTCTTGTCTTGAGGCTTAGGACACTAGTTTATTTTTCTGGTAGCTGAAACTAGGCATAATTTATTTGCATGGATGCTTTAGAGGGACTATGATATGTAAAGAATAGGGAAATAAAGAATGAATAGTTTTAGTTCGTTAGGAAGTTAGTAGTTAGGATTCACTAGAATAACTAGTATAGGAGCCTACATAAAGGGATCCTAAATGTGAGTCATTGCTATGCTAAATTGAAAATCTCAGAAATATAATTCAGTTCCTCTCTATTCTTTGCTTCCTTTCTCTCTTTTCTCTCTCGTCTCCTATCTCTTCTATTTGCTGGCCTTTTCTCTCCTGTTTCTCTCTTCCTCTCTTTCTACGATATCAGACTGAATAATTTACAAGTTTGCTGTAAATTCCTTATTGAAAGGATGGGGACCCTCTTATGGATGGTTGCTTTAGTCCTGACCTGTCTCAAATAATACTTGTGGGCGTTCCTTGGTAGAATCATGCTTATATAGCAAAATTTATTCTGACGTGGCACTATATTTTGCCCTAACTCTTATTTAGCTTTCTCTGTATCTTAGTTAATATATTGAATATTCTTTGACCTTTCTCTGCATTATATTTCATAAAATAAAATCCATTGCCTGTTGGATTACCTGTAAAGAAATCACAAAACATGTCAGTAATATTTGTTAAGCCGAAGCTTCTTAATCCGCATAGTTCATTAACTGAATGGAAGCACTCAGTACACTAACAACTTTGTTACAACATTTGAACTTCTAGAGGTGCTGGTGGCTGCATTCGCTTTAGTAAGGAAGTAAAACCCTGCATCTTCCTACATTAATTGAATATGTCTTCCTGATTGCCATATCATTATGTTCATCTTAAACTGTGTTGCTGACATTTACAAGCCTAATTGACAGTTATTGTTTCATGAATGATTTACATGCGGTTTTCTTCCAACTTTCAGCACATTCGTTGATCCTACTAATCTGAGTGCTGGTCTGCACTATTATGAGGTCTATGGCATTGACTGCAAAGCACCATGGCGTGGTCCACTTTTTAGAATTCCAGTAACCATAACCAAACCCAAGGCTGTAACAAACCAGCCTCCACAAGTTGTATTTTCAAAAATGTTATTCCAGCCAGGTGGGGATCTGTCAAAATAATCTGTGTTATTTCTGCTGGTGGCTTACCGTGGTGTAGATTTGAATGCTTCCTGAGCATACCATTTGAGCTTTGCTTATGAGCCTTTTCTTATCTTTAATACCAAACTTCTTTTCTTGACAATTTTAGCGTCTTAATTATGTTTCATTTGCTTTCGTGGTTCCAGTTTCCTGTCTTAAATTGAAAAAGCAAGGCTAACCAATATTTCTTTCATAAATTATTGCTTCATTAGGCCACATAGAAAGAAGATATATAGAAGTCCCACATGGCGCATCTTGGGTTGGAGCAACTATGAAAGCATCAGGTTTTGATACAGCTCGAAGATTTTTTGTGGACACTGTTCAGGTATAGCATGTAGCTTGAACTGTTTTAGATTTTGTGGACAGTTATTAACGTGCTTTCTGTCTTCAGATATGCCCATTGCAAAGACCTCTGAAATGGGAGAGTGTGGCAACATTTTCTTCTCCTGCTTCCAAGAGCTTTGTCTTTAAGGTAGTAGGTGGTCAGACATTAGAACTTGTCATTTCTCAGTTTTGGTCAAGTGGCATAGGAAGTCATGAAACTACCAGTGTGGATTTTGAGGTAATAGAATTCATATTTGTATGACTTTCTCACTCCTCTCATAATTTTGGATGATTTCTGTTCATGAAATAGACTGTATCCTGGTTTTTGAATTACGAAGTCATTGTTCCTTGCTCTTTAATGGTTGATATTTGGTGGATCTCAGTTCCTCTATTACTTTAACTTGTTTGATGACAAGTATCTTCTTATTATGTGTGCGACAATTAATGCCAAAGGGATTCTGAGCATTTTGATATACAATTTACAAAACTTGTATGCCCTACTAACCAAAAAAAAAAAAAAATGCATGAAGGATGTAGTAACTTGGTGGCAATGTGTGCTCTATGCATTAATTTGGAAGGTATGGCTAGAGCGGAATGCCTGTATCCTAGGGGTGTCTTGTTGTCTGTGGATAAACTGTAGATGAGGATTCTAATTGCAGCTAATACTGCATTGTATGATGAGAAAAGCACATTATATTTCTTTCAACCCTGTTTTTGCAACGAATATGAATCTAATTATTCACGAAGGCCCAATATTAATTAAAAAAAGAATTATGAAAACAGGGATATTATATATTTACATGTTCTCTTGCTCTTTGTTAAAGATACTGCTTGTTGAATTATATGCAATTTCAGGTCATGTTTCACGGTGTAAGAGTTAATCAAGAGGAAATATTACTTGATGGAAGTGAAGCACCCGTAAGAATTGAAGCTGAAGCACTACTGGCTTCTGAGAAACTTGCACCTGTGGCAATTCTAAATAAGGTGAAGCTTCTTGTGTTTTCTAATGATCTGATTCAAGTGTATTATTTTTTGGAAGTTTTCTTCCTTTACCTTGTGTTTTCCTGTTATGCTTACTGTAATGGCTATTGACCTTATACAAGTTTGAAAATGCAGTTAAGGGTTCCATATCGACCAGTGGAGGCAAAAATTACTGCACTTTCAGCAGACCGTGATAGGCTTCCTTCTGGAAAGCAGATACTTGCTCTGATCTTAACGTTAGTTGCTACAAATTCCACTATTTACTTGATTTGTTTGTGCTTTTTTAGATGGCTTATTCTCAGTATTTTTTTTTTTTGTAGCTACAAGATCAAATTGGATGATGGAGCTGAAGTAAAACCTCAAATAGCACTACTAAATAATCGGATATATGATACTAAATTTGAGTCTCAATTTTATATGATTTCTGACTCAAACAAGGTAATTAATATCTGTATATTTTTTTCTTAAAGGATTGGAGGATTGGGGATTTCTGTTTCTCAATCACATGTACTGGGGGAGCTGGTGCTCTTATTTTCAAATTCTTTACTTTGCCAGTTATACTCTACCACGTACCTTTTGTTTATGGATACATTTCGAATGTGGAAATTTAAAATCAAAGTATCTTAGAACCTGTCTATATACGACATTTGAGTATGAAATATATGCAAATTTAAGATCCTGTATCTTACAATTTCGTTGCAAATATAGGAATTCAAAATTTTCCAAATGTTGATATACCAAACTGAAATCTTATATTTCTGGGGTCTCCTCTGGTTACCAATGGATAGATGCAGTGCCAGGGGTTTTTTCTCCTAGTTTATGGTCCCCGGTTATTCTGTAGTTTTTGACATTCTTTTGGGCAATTCCTTATTTTCTTCACATATTTTTATCTCCTTATTTTGCTTTTCCTATGTTTTGACTGTAGCGTATATATTCAAGCGGTGATGCCTACCCAGATTCAACAAAACTTCCCAAGGGAGAATACAATCTACAGTTATATTTGAGGTACAGGACACTTTCTGTGCATGTATCCTTGATGGATGCACATGACTTTGTTTCTTGTGGAGCTTGCTCTTTACTAGGCAAGGGAAATTTTGCTATTGTTATAAATTCATAAGTAATGATTGTAAACATGCATTGAGTCTATTGACCTGGTGCTGTTTTGAGGACAACAATGCTTGTTTTAGTTACTTAACCCTGCTATAAGAAAGGTGGAGCTCAGATTGCGAGTATTTCTAAACTTTTGCAAGTTTTAGACTTAGTTCAACCTCCTATTGATTTTTGTTTCAGGCATGACAATGTCCAGGTTCTGGAAAAGATGAAGCAGTCGGTGTTGTTCATTGAGAGAAATTTGGAAGACAAGGTATGTAGAGTTGTTCAACTACCACCCATGATTTCAGACTTGGTGGCATTATTTGATTGTAGATAAGTGGATTAAAGGGAATTTATTTGATATTGCGAATACAAGCACATTTTACTATTAAGGGGCTACAAGTATTTGTTTATCCTCCTTTTAAATTCTTACTGGAAGTCTTTGTAGTTGAACTGCATGGGAATCTGACACAGAAGAGACACGGGGTATTATTTGTAACCTAGTAAATTTTCTCACATTTTGTTTCTCTAAAAGCTAAATAATTGCAAAGAGGAGAAACACAAAATGATGATAAGTTCCTGGGGCTAGGGGTGCTTAGCCAAGGAAAGAATATCTGATAGAACACTGCTTTGTATTATTCAAGCCAAGATAACTGGGGAATTAATTCTACCAATATGTGGAACCAGGAAGAAGGGATTGTACTGAAATATAAAGTATAAATTCATAAGAACAGGAGTAAAACCGGAGCAGTAAAAGAAAAACAATGCAGAAAACTAATTATAGTGTAAGCTTTAGAGGCCAGAATCTATCCCAGATTGTCTTCGCCAGAATGATACTACTTCCCTCAATTCAAGGGTCCCTAATAAAACTTCTCTCTGCCAGACCACCTCCTAAAAATCAGTCCCAGTTATCTCCATGTGCAATATCATTTTCTGCCATCTTTTCCTATTTCTAGGATAGACTATTGTCTTGTTTGCTTTGGTTGGATTAACACCCACTATTGCAGCCCTTTCTCCCTTATTCATTCAACAGGTTAGTTATGGCAAGCTCATCAGTATCCATTATTCAAAATTTGATGTGAAAATAAACACATTTATCTGTCTAACAGATAGATGATCAATATCAGGAGATTGATAATTTGACAGAGGTAGCTTGGTTATTTGGAAAAGTAAGAAGCTGAGTATGGTGGTTAAGTTCAGAATAAGAATACTGAAGAACTATGGCTCAAGCTACTATTGAAATTATGTTGATTGCATTAGGTACTTGACAAGGCTAATTTCGAAAGTCTCCTTGATGGGGCCACTGTGGTTTGATCAACATGCTGCCTTTGGCTTTAGTTTGTTCATAGACATCTACAAATTGTGGCGCCCCCTTGGAGCTAAAACACCCCATCTGCCTCCTAAATCTTTTTTAAAACCCCCACCCATCTCAAAAAAGAAAAGAAGAAACATGTGTAACCTAATTTGTGGTCATTACTCTAACTCTTCACTTCTAACTTAAATCTGTAGCTCTTATTGCTTAGTCTAGCAGAAATTTCCTTTCAACTTGGTTATTTATTTGTATTTTACGTTTTTTGAAAAATTTGAAGTAATTGTGACAAAAAAAATTGGCACTTTTTTTACACAACCTCATTCAGTACAGTGCTGCTGCTGTCCTGAGCAGTTCACCTACAGAAGTTGAATCTTATTTACAGTTTTGAAGTTGGATCATAGATGGGGAAATCACTTTTATATTTTTTATCCTTATCATGAATACTAAGTTTTGTTAACTATTACTCCCTCTGTTTTATTATATTTGCTGTTTAAAGTAATTGCGCACATATTAAGAAATACAATGAATTTGAAAAACTATGACGTATTTTACCAAATTTGCCCCTAATTTATTTTAGTACTTCAATTCCTCTCAAACCATGCTGGGAGTAATAGAATATTTCTCTAAGGGTACAACGACGACGACGACGACGACAAGCCTTATCCCACTAAGTGGGGTCGGCTGTATGGATTATACGACGTCATTATGTTATATCATTTATTAAGATTTTAAAAATATTGTTAATTAAGAGGTCTCGATCAACCACTTCCAAAAGTGTTCTCTTTGGCCTCTCTCTATCCTTTTTGATAGGGCTCAAAGTTATCTATTCCATTCTCTTCATAAGTGCCGCTTGTGATCTTCTTTATACATGTCCAAACTACTTCAAAGGATTTTCTATCATTTTTCCTTCAATAGGTGTGACACTTGCTTCTTCTTGTACGCACTGGTTTTGGATTTTGTCTTTACGTGTATGTCTGCACATTCATCTCAACATTCTCATCTTTGTTACTCCAACTTTATGCTCTTGTTGTCCCATTAAAGCTGAACATTCACTATCATATAATATTGTTGGTTTTATAACAGTTAGAGAATATTTCTCTAAGGGTAAAAGGGGAAAAATGTTATTAAATGTTGCTTTGAATGTCTGAAATGACATGTAATATGAAACAAAATTTTCCCCTAAAACGACAAATATAATGAAACAGAGGGAGTACTATTTAATCTCAGATCTGTCAGGTGTTTCACTCTTTACCCTTCCCTTTAATTATTTATGTAACTACATTTCTTTCCAGGATGCCATTCGTTTATGCTTTTTCTCTCAACCTGACGGTCCTTTGATTGGAAATAGCACTTTTAAATCGTCATCATTAGTTCCAGGGTATGTGTCTGGGTGAGTAGTTCCTGAATTTTAATCTCATCTTTCTGTTTCATGCTGACTTTTGTTTACTGGTAGTATAAAAGAGGCAATTTATCTGGGTCCACCACCTAAAGATAAGCTTCCCAAGGTATGTTTTTCTCCTGATTTTTTGTTTAGATGCTGACACTGGGATTATAATAACATTTGTGGTATCTTTTGCAGCATTCTCCACCAGGATCTGTACTAGTGGGAGCAATATCATATGGAAAACTATCAACTGGGGAGAATAAAAATCCAGAAAAGCACCCAGTATCATATCGGGTTTCTTATATCATCCCCCCTAACAAGGTTTCATTCTGCCTTGTTAACTTGAGGTCTTGTTCCATGCTTTTTAGTTGCACATGCATGTTGAGGTGTGAAGAATGGCCAACATGCAATTTTGTTGTATCAAATTATCAGCTATCATATAATTTGTGCATTAAAGTCTAAAACATTTTCTGATTACATTAGTTTCTATTGAAAGGTCGATGAAGACAAGGGAAAAGGTTCTTTCTTATCTGGCAAGAAGACAGTTTCTGAGCGTTTAGAAGAAGAGGTATGCAACTCATACTTCAGCAAATGAGTTTCCTTCTGGTTTGTTTTGGTTTGGTTTGGTTTGTTTCTTATCTCATTTTGCTTTGGCTGAATCTTTATCTGTTTATCATCATCATCATCACTATTATTATTTGCATTTACTTGAAAAAGATACAAGTGAAATGGAAATGTCTAATAATAATTGCAACAAAAACAACAAAAGCCTTATCCCACTAAGTTGGGAATATTAATTGTAACAAAGACTAGTAATTGAAGTTGTGGCAAAAAAAGGTGGTGTGTAGATGAAAATTTACTTGAAGACCTTATATTGATTTATAACTGCATCAGCTACCAATGAAGTTTATTGTGGTTTAAACTCACTAACATTGCATCAATAACTGTGTATGTTCGTTATGTTTTTACTTTTTGGAAGAAACCAGTCTGTGGGATCTTCTGCAGCTCATCTTCTATTTAAAACATGAATCAGACAATTATACAGTTACAAATTGATTAATAATTTAGTTGACCGAGGACAAGCATTGGCTGTAATGAGCAGATGATGGGTGCATGTATAAATGGATCTACAATATCATATCATTCTTAATCATCACATCATTGTGTTATACTTTTGTAATAATAGAAGAGAATAGAGTAGATGTAGAAAGAGAATAGGAGGAGAGAAGAACAGATGAAGGTTTAGAGAAGATGAGAGACAAGAGGTTGAAGAGGAAGAGAGAAAAGAGAGGCGAGGACTTTCTGAATAATATCAAAGTCTATTGATTAACAACACAAATACAATGAAATATAAAAGTATTTATATAACCGCTGAATACACCCAATGGCTAGTAACCAACGGTTATAACTAACTAATAAAATGTCAAAATTACAAAAACATAACAATTACCCCCCTCCCAAAAGACCTTTGCCCCCAAAGGTCATGCTGAAATATTGGGAGAAAAACATTAAACTCTTAGAAGCTACTGTTCATTGTTCTCTGTCACTGTTCACTGCTACTGTACACTGCTGAATAAATGGAAATAATGAGTTGAGCCCAAAAGCATTCTTAGTAATCCTCCTCTGTACCATAGAACAACAAACAAGTGGGTAGGGAAGAGTTGAAGACAAAGAAAAGCCCAACAAGACAGATGTTTCAATGGGCTGATTGTAACATCTTTGAGTGACATTGGGCCCATGCAATTATCCCAATTCAGAAGCTGGTTCAGGTTCAGTAAGGATGGAAGGTACAGCTTATGCATCTGAAGTTTCCACCTACATGGCAGAATAGCTTTTGACTTTTTAGGACCTAGCCACGACATTCTGAACAGAAAAATCAGGGAGTAGTTCCGTTTTCTTTCTTGAAACTTGAACCCATGTATTGACTATCGGTGTTAGCTGCCATCCACTAAAACTACACCCACTTGATATGAAAGACAGCTGTCTTTGACCCATTCTCCCATGTGTGCAGACCCCAAAAAAAACCCATTGAAGCTTACTCACATGCCCTCCCTGCTGCGAAAAGTTCACCCAGGTTTTGTAGCTTTGAGAAGTCTAGAGTCTTTAACTGGGTATGGGTAAGACAAACACACGTTGATAAGAAGACAAAAGGGGGTGGAGATGATGAAGCAAATAGCCACGAAGCATTTGAAGTTACAGAATGAGACTGCAATGGAGAAACCAGCGAAGACAGCAATGATGACACCCAAGGAACAAGAGATGGCAATGGAGAAGCTTGTGATGGTGGCAGAAAAACGTAAATAGGTAACGATGGGTTGATCAAAAACAAAGATGAAGAGAAAGTTGGAACAGAGGGTGGCGATGGCTCTGCAAGTAGGCAACATTGATGTTCCGAACAGTGTTGGGTACCCAAACTGAAGTCAAGACTGATGGTTTTACCCACACCAACGGCGAAAGAGCTTAAGGAGTCATGTTTAGAGATGATTGAGCCTACTTTACTCTCCAACTCGCACAAAAAAACCTTCTTGAAATCATTGCAATCATCTTACAGTTCTTGCACTGGTAAGGAAGACCCAACTTCAACTTCCCTTGTTATAGTTACAGAATCCCCATGATTTTGAACGCCATTCTTGGCTGGCTGATTCCCACAATCTTGTAGAGGTGTACCTACTTCATCCTTCTCCAAAAACTCTTGTGATTGATAATTATCTTGAAGTGCCTGTGCCTTCTTTTCTATCTGACGCATTAGCATAATTTCTTGCATTTTTGCAAGACTTCTCGCTTCTTGCATCGTTCTTGGTTTGAAGAGACGCACCGGTTCTACAAGTTCTGGCTTGAGCCCAGCCACATACGCAGAAACTAAATATTTTTCTTGCAATCTGAATCCATTGGTGTGGCTATCAAAGAATTTATTGAATTCTTTCAAGCTCCCCCGTTGACAAAGCCACATCTGGTGGTCATCCTCATATTCCTGGAATGAATGGTGTGCCATGGCCGAGGATGACTGGCTTTGGTACCACTGTTATACTTTTGTAATAATAGAAGAGAATAGAGTAGATGTAGAAAGAGAATAGGAGGAGAGAAGAACGGATGAAGGTTTAGAGAAGATGAGAGACGAGAGGTTGAAGAAGAAGAGAGAAAAGAGAGGCGAGAACTTTCTGAATAATACCAAAGTCTATTGATCAACAACACATCAAAATGAAATGTAAAAGTATTTATATAACCACTAAATACATCCAACGGCTAGTAACCAACGGTTATAACTAACTACTAAAATGTCAAAATTACAAAAACATAACACGTTGATTCTAGAGATTTCTTATTTTATCTGTTGTCTTGAGAATAGTTTGACTTTCACTTTGCCAGGTAAGGGATGCAAAAATACAAGTGCTGGGAGGCTTAAGACAAGAGAGTGATGAAGAGTGCTTGGAATGGAAGAAGCTATCTACCTCACTTAAAGTAAGCAGCTTAAAATTGCTTTCCTTCAATTTACTATTTATTCTCCTCAACACGTTATCTTCTTTTTGCAAGATTTATTCATACATTTTGAGGAAAAAAACAAAAAATTGAAATTATGTTCTTCTGTTTCTTTAGGTGTCATGACAAGTTAATGCAGAAATTTGTTATGTTTACTTGCAGTCTGAATATCCCAAGTATACTCCTTTACTTGCAAAAATTTTGGATGGTTTGGTTTCTAGGAGTAATATCAAAGACAAAATCCGCCACAATGATGAGGTAAAGTTTGTTGGTAGCTTGTAATTTTTCTTTCCATGTTTTGATAATTTTACTTGTTAAAAACTACAATGTATTTGAGCTAGGCTCTGGAGCTTTAGGATATGTATGCTGTTGTAATTTCACTTTAAGAGGTTGTGCAATCTTAAAATAGCAATGTATTTGTATCCTTGTTAAAGTAATACGGATACATGCATCTAGAAAGCTAATTATGTGGGTAAATATATGACTGGAGTATTCTATGGAAGTTACCTCCATGATTAAAAAAAGGCTAATTCTGTGTTACTTTTCACTTTGCAGATAATTGATGCAGCGAATGAGGTGATTGATAGTATTGACAGGGAAGAATTAGCAAAATTTTTTGCATTGAAAAATAACACAGAAGATGAGGAAGCAGAGGTATTGTTTTGCCCCCATGCTTCTAGTAATCTAGTTATCCCCTTCAGCCACTTCTAAATTAGAGTTCATGAAGTTTTACTAGTACAGAAAGCTGTTACCTACATATTGACTCAGTGATAATTGTTCCAGATTCACTCTTATAATTTTTATTTTGGCACTTTAGTAGTCTGTAAAGTTGGATTCTTTTCACCTTCACCACTTAAGCAGAACCAGGTTTTTGTCGCTTTTAGTGGGGAAGTCATATTCTTGCTTTCAATATTTGGAGAATTCCTCATGCTAAAAATATACATTGAGAATTCTATCCACGGTGGGCCTGCAGGAGGGCTAGAGTATTTTATAAAAAAATATTGAGTAAAATAAAATATGATTTTAGTATAATACATAATTTCTGTTGTAGAAAAATTTCTTCCTGTATATGTATGTACTTCCAACCTAATATGATACAACAACAAGAAGCAGCCTTATCTTGCTAGAATATGAATTACACGATGTTATTGTGCTCTATTACCAACCAAATGTTTGAATATATTGTATATTAAGAGGTCCTGCTCAACAATAAGCCTTGTCCTCCTCACTGGCGCCTCCAATGGCTGTCTTTGTGCATGTTTGGACCACTTTAAATGATTTTCTTTTTTTGGGTAGAAAATCAAGAAAAAGATGGAATCAACCCGAGACCAATTGGCAGAGGCACTGTACCAAAAGGGGCTTGCACTGGCAGAGATTGAATCTTTAAAGGTTAGAGATTTTTTTCTCTTTTTGATAGTGTGCAAATCATGGCAATAAATCATGCTGATGAATATATTGAACTCTTCAACTTTTATCCAACTCCAAGCAGCTGCTTGAGGCTGTGTTTGATTTTGCAAAATTAGCAAGTGCTGCTCTGAAAATGGGAAACGTCCCTGAATGTGGTGATACGATTAATTTTTCCCCCCCTCATAAACTCAACCCAGAAGATAGTGCGGCAAAAATGCTACTTTTTCAGATCAAGAGGAGCACTATAATAGGTTTTGAAGACAGAACTGATGAATTTCATAATCCTTAGCTTACTGTTTCCTGCATTTGCTTATATATAACTACATGACTAGTTTGAACCTACAGTTTTCACATGCATTCTCCAGTCTGATCTTGTTTGCATGACTCTTTTGTGGAAGATAGCAAAGGAGTTAGTAACCTTAAATTATGCTTTCTTGTCTGATAGTGGTAAATTTTTTATTCATTTTGTATCAAATAAAAAGTTGGCGGACTTGACTTGGTGTATATTGTCAAAGGAGGTGGATAAACCCTTGGCTTCGTCTGGAACGGAAGGAGCAAAAAAATCTGTGGACCCTAAGACTGACGACAGTGACGGGCAATCAGCACCTGAAGAGGGAACTCAGCCAGACTTGTTTGATGAGAACTTTCATGAACTGAAGAAGTGGGTTGATGTGAAGTCCTCTAAGTATGGAATCCTCCTAGTAACACGGGAGAGGCGATGTCAAAGGCTTGGGATAGCGTTAAAGGTACCTTTTTTACAAAGTTGGAATTCATCCACCAAGTCTCTTGTATCTTGCATAAGTTCCTGCTGTGGATTAATACTCAATATTTTAAATTTTAATTGCTAACAGTATCCTTGGATTCCTTCTTCCTCTTCATATTCTGGATTTTCTATCCACAGCAGCTCATTTAGTTCCTTGTACTACGACTTCCCATTTAGTTCCCTTGTACTTGTGATACAATAAAGTGTGGCTCAAACCACAAATATATGCTGTGTCTCGTTAATTAACATTCATATTTCTTTGTAATTCCTTACATAATCATTTCTAGTTTCTGCATTGAATAGAACATTCGGCAAGGTAGACCATATTTAGGTGATCCGTACTAGCAAAGCGAGTCTTCCTTATTGCCTATTTGTTTCTGGAAGCGTTTTTATTTTTTATTTTTTTTATGATGATTAGCCATTGGGAAAATGGTTCTTTCCTTAGGCAGGTTGAGTTCTTGAACAATTTTATTTCATCCTTCTCTCCCCTGGATACAGGCATTGATGGACATGATTCAAGATGATTCTGATCCACCCAAGAAGAAACTCTATGAACTAAAGCTCTCTTTGCTTGATGAGATCGGATGGACTCACTTGGCTACATTCGAGCGACAGTGGATGCATGTTCGTTTTCCCCCATGCTTGCCCCTTTTTTAGGGTCTTCCCACCTATCTAATGGAATAATGGAATGTGATGTTAGCAGGCATGTCCTTTTAGTTAGTCGTTTTTATTTTGTGAAAATAATTTATGTCAGTGACATTTACCTCAGATTGGTAAAAAGATGAAAGCAATTGAAACGTGGTAATTGACTTGAATTGCCATAACTGTGGTCGGAGGAAGTGAAAAGGCAGAGCGCATTAGCTCAGAGTGGTCGGTGTTTTGAGTTGAATGGTTTCCTGTTGTTGTATTCAGATTTGGCTGTTTGACAATTATAAGAATTCATATTGGTTTATCATCTTCCTCTGCATTCATTTTTGCTTGCCTAGACGCTTGTCTCGTTGCTCGCTCGTGTTTCATGAAATTTCAAGTCTTGAATTGTCTCAAATTCTCTACTTCTCCACTAGTTTGAGGTCACCATGAAGAACATGCTTCATGTTTTCCTTTCCACGTGGCTTTACTGGTTTTTAGTTTCTCTGGCTTATGGGCAAGTGCCTTCAAAGTCCAAACCTTGTGATTTAAGCCAGTCACATTGAAGTTGTGTGATCAAAAGGGGAAGAAAGGTTTTTTTTTTAAAAAAAAAAAAAAGCAGAGGTGGGGGTTGGGGAAGGAGTGATAAAATTGCGCTTTAATTAGAAGTTTCAATGACAACGTCAAGCTCTTCTAATTTTATTTATAAATTATTTTTAACATGTTTTTACTATAACAAAAAATTTAAAATTCATTAAATTTATTTAAAAATTTAATAAATTATTAATTTTGTCTCTATTAAATATATTTTTTTAATAATATTTTTTTATTAAAAGAAAATTTGTGTTGAAAATTTAATTAAATAATGTATAAATATAATCAAATTGTTTTTTTCTCAGAGGGAGCAAGGAATTGCATGTGATCTTAATAAAATGAGGATTAAATTTTTAAACTTTGTTCGTTTAGCTACGCAAATATTGTTCAGAAATAGCTCAATTCATTTATTATGTAACTTTATTGCTGAAGAATAGTCATAATTACGTGTCAAATGTATGACACAGTGAAAAGATGCTTTGAATCTTCCCGTGAACCGCATACACGTAAACGACATGTGTCAATTGTAATTTTTAGTCAAAAGTTAGCATTTGGGATTAGATGATCAATAAAACATTGTTGTATTAAGGACAGACATTCTTTTCTTGAATACAAATTCAGGTGACGTTAATATCAGAAATACACGAGACTCGATTTAGAATCATTCACCATCCCACGTGATTGGTCACTAGAGAATAAAGAATTCAAATAATGTGGACACATCCAAAAACAAAATGAAATAAACTGGAATTGTCAGTAACTAATCTCATATTCACATTTTGAAATTCAAAATTTCCCTGCAAAACTTGAACGTCGTCTATTTTACTTAAATGCATGGGTCTCTACGCTTTTCTCTTTCTGCCGTCCAGGTTTGTGGGTGATACTCATGAAATATGAAAATAAACGACGCTTCTCTGATTTTCTTTTCCAAAAAAAAAAAAAGAAAAGAAATGGTTTTCACTTAAAAGTTAATATTACTTTAATATTTTAACAAATGTATTCATGCAAATGTTCAAAAAAGAAAGTCATAATTTGAACGTTCGGTTCAATTATATTTTGTCAATATTAAAAAAATCAAATATAAGAATTTTTTGTGAATGAAACTAACAATGATAAAGTTAAATAATTAAAAAATTAGAATTAAAGAATTAAAGATGCACTTTAATCTAAATTGATCATGAAAGTTAAAGCGCATATTTGACTGCGTTTCCAATGTTTTAAAAATTGTTTTGCGGAATAATTTTTAAAAATTGTTTGTGTGTCCGGGGAAAAAACCTTGTTTAGTAACTGTTCGTAACATTAATTTGGAAGCAGTCGTACTGCTAGCAAACAGGACTGAGCAATGAGAACAATCAACAGTTAAGCAAGCATGATGTGAACTTAAAAATCTAATGGCAAATATTACAACTTTGTTATTAATAAAAACAAAAAAGAGGACAATTTTTTCTTGAAGTGTTTTAAAAAAAACTCCTACTCCCTCCGTTAAAAAATATAAGGCATTTTTAATCAAATCTCACCCCTCAACAAAGTAATTACCTACTTTTAAACTAATTATATTTTTTTTATATTCACCCCTATTAAATATCCTACAATAAATATAAAGTCATCATTAATAGGGACTTTTTGAAAAATAAATAATGATTACACTTTGAAAGGTTAAAAAATATCTTACATTTTTGAACATTCAGCTTTTCAAAAAATGCCTTACATTTTTAAATAGAAAGAGTATGTTGTTTTCATTAAAAAAAAAGGGGGAGAAAAAATTTTGATAGAAAAAACCTTAGAAATCAGTTAAATACAGAATATTCTTTAACCAAAAATATGTTTTTGTTTTTGAAAATAGGAAATAGTTTTTAAAAATGAAAATCAAAATTCCCTTAAGTAATAGTATCAAAATAAATGACTAAGAATAATATAAAATGCATCCACGCATGGAGTATCACTTGTCGTTTCCATTCTTCGTCTTTTTCAAGTTTTGGTCGAAAACAAAAAAAAAAAAATCTTTTCCAATTAATGTTAATGTAAATACACGTTGACAACGAGGAACATGCAAATCTGAGTTTGACCAGCTCTACGTAATTAGTAGAATGTTAGAGTGTTAATCTCAAGGATAATCCTATCTTTTAATAACGTCTGAAAATGTCACCAAGTTCTAGTTATACTTGTTGATTAAATACAATTATCCAAATTGAACTTTAGACCTTTCTTTTTTGATAAAAATAACAATAAAATTCTTTTCAAATATATAAATAATAATTTGGTCCTTCGAAATATCATAATTCATCAAAAGCCTTCAGAGATTTTTTTGTCATTAATGAATTTATATAAATTATCAAATTGCCCTTATTAAAAATAAATGATTCATAAGTTTTGTTTAAATATTCACAATTTTTTTTTTATATTCGCAACAATGCAATAACAATTCACAACTTTACATGTTAAATTACTTATTTGTATTATATTGTTGCGAATATAAAAAAAAGTTGTGAATATTTAAACAAAACTTGTGAATAATTTTATTTTCAACAAGAATAATTTAATAATTTATATAAATTCATTAATGACAGAAAAGTTTTTAGAGACTTCTGAGAATTATGACATTTTAAAAAATTAAATTATCATTTACATATATCATTTTTCTTTTCTTTTGTTTTTGGGCCTGAGCTAAGTTTAAAGTTTGATATGGCCTTGAATTAGTAGATCTAAATTAGGATAGATATTGATCTTTAATTTATCTGTGTCTTCTCCAATAATATCGGTTATATTTTGTTGGCCTAAAAGAAAATAATGGTTCTATTTTAGGTTACTTGATTGATATTCTCTTTTTAATTTTTTATTTCGTAATTATTGATTATTTATTAGATATATTGTATCTTGAATAGATTGTAAAGTTATCAATACTGTCCAAGTATCACCATAAATGTCACCATTTTCATTTTGTTCTATATTATTCGAGGAAAACTTTAACTTTAAAATTATCTATTTAGATATTTTTACGATTATATTTCTGTGCGTGTGTTTCAATTCACCTGTAAACATAGTGTATGTTTGGTTTTAATTTATTAAAAGTTTATCTGATAAAATCAGTTTAATGAAAATCAGTTGTTGTGACAAGATTTATATTTGGATATATTTTTTTAAAAATCAGTTTGGTATGCTAAAAGTTATTTAGTTTGTGATAATAAAATATGCTTTTAAATATATAATTATAAAAAAAGACATTAATTTATGATGATTTGTAATTTTTACAAATATAATATATTTGAAATATTTTAAAAATGTGATAAAGATTTTAAATAATATAAAATTTAATCTATAATGCTAAAAATTTGATCTCTAGTTATTTGTACTCTTTTAATTTATAATTTTAGAAAATATAATAAAGATTTACAATATTTATTATACATTAATGCTAAAAGTTAACATAATTAATTATTCAATTTATAATACTAAAAAATTAATACCTAATTATTATTATTATTATTAAAATAATAATTATATTATTAATGAATTAACTATTTTTTAAATAAAAATTAAGAGATTAAATTTGAAATAGTATAGTTAAATAACATCTTACTTTTTAAATTACTTTTTAAAGACTTTAAATAGTTACGTTTTATAAATTCATTTTCGGCTACTGTTTAAATGTGCTTTCAGGATATATTTTTTTATAAAATATTTTATTTAAATAATTTTTAATATTTTAAAAATAAAATTTTACTTCCTAAATGTAAAATGTAAAAAAACTAAACCGGCCGTGGTGTTGTGGTTTTGTCATTCCTATGTCAAACAATAAGGCTCATTTTGCTCAACAGTCAAAAGTGAAAAAGCTGGGTGCTTGTTTGCATGTATGATGTCATTTTTTATTTTTATTTTTTATAAGTAAAAAACTGTTTTGCAATATATTTTTTAAAACAAAATAAAAAATCTGTTTACTAATGTTGATTTAAAATTAAAAAATCGCCCGATAGTACTTGTTGTCACTGGTCATTGATGGTAGTTTATAATAATAATTTATTATAATTTTCAATAACCAAATATAATGTATTTTGAAAACCAAAAAAATAAAATGAAAATATTTTAAGATGTTTTTATTATTTTATTTTTTAAAAATAAAATTAAAAATAATTTTAAAAAAATTGAAATCAAAACACTTATCCTACCAAATGAGTTTTTTCATTGTCAAGTCAAATTAATGAAATGAATTAAGAAGAGGGGTAAACTCGTGCACAATAACAAGCTAATGCAGTTTAAATCCAATTTTATTGTTTTAGCTTTTGAAAAATACAGAATTCTACCAACCGGAAAAGCTTATTTAATTTTTAAGAGGTTGTGATTAAGGAGCTTCAAATTTGAACAATTGGAGGCGGATTTAAGTGTTTTAGTGTGTATTTAATTTTCAATTTATATCTAACAAAAAAGTATTAGATTTGGCAAAAATACATCACAAATGTAATTTGAATGTACTTTTAAGAATTATCCAAACTGGCCCTTAATTGTTTTTGTTTTAATCTTGTTCACTACTGCTGCACATTTTTTATCATAATTTAATCGTCATTATGTTTGCCCAACATCTAGAAACCTCCTTGATTCTCTTCAATTTAATTGCTCTTGAGTTTTGGAGCATTATATTCCTCTTTCACCTCTCTATGAATACTTGCCTACATACTAAATATTTATATACATATGTTGTTCTGCTGCCCATTTTGTCTTAGAAGAGGAATGATTCATTTAATCTTGAAAAGTTGTTGTATTTAATTGAGTTAATATGATAGAATAACTCTTGCTAGGACAGGATCATGAGGCTTGATTAATTTTCTCATGCTGCTGCCAACAACAATTAATTGTCGGCTTATTTTTCCCACTCAGTACTACAAGCCTAGCTTGCTTCTCCTTTTGGTTAGGCAGATCGTCAAATCTCTAACCTCAGGATTTGTTCTTTTTTGACCTTCAACTCGGGAATTAAGTACTTTCATTTTTTTTTTTGGGTGGAAAATAATAGATTAGATAAGTTACTTGTGTCTCCAGATCTTCTACTGTTTGGCTTATTTTTCTGATGCAATCGCTAGCTTCTCGTTTTGGGTTAGCAGATCGTCAAATATGCAGCGTCTTCAAGGGACATGAGTGGTGTCCCCCCCCCCCCCCCAAAAAAAAGGGAACATGCGTGGAATTTTTTTTTTTAAATAATGAAATTAAGTTGCTTGAATATTACTAGTAACCAGTAAGGAGATGGGTGGCAAGCAATAACTTTTTTTTGCGTTTACGTCTGTCATCAATTACTTTTTTATTTTTCAAACAATTAGAGGTGAAATATTGATTCGTGTAAGAATGAATGAAAGACTAAAATTATTCAATTAAAATTAGAGTGAGATTGAAGCGATTTTTTATCACAGCAGAGGATATTTATCATACTTTATTTATTAATTAATATGACATGTACTCTTTTAATTCTATATTTATAAATCACTATTAACATATTTTACCATAAGTTAAAAAAATTTAAAATTTATTAATTCTATTTAAAAATTCAAAAGTTATCAACTTTATCCCTATTAATTAACATATAAGATTTGGATTCAGTGACTATAGTTATTGAGTGCTTGTACCATCTGAACCATTAAAATTCATATTAATAGTTTAAATAAACTAATTTATTTATTAATTTAAATATAGTCATCAAATCCAAATACAAATCATAATATACATGTTTTAATAACATATTCTATTTGATCAATATTTAATCAAGGGTAAAGAGAAAAATTTGTCATAAAACTTTAATAATATGATTTATAAATAAAACAAGATGGAGTACATATGTATACACATACATGCATGTGTATATATATAATGTTTTAAAATTTTCTGCTGACATTAATGCTAGAATAATACAGTACCATATTATTACTTTTTTTTTAAATCCTGTCAGAGTATCCAATATAATATAATCTATCGCATTCTCCAAAATAATATATAATTACAATGGCTTGCCCATTATGATCACGTTATTGTAAATAAATAGATGTAATTAATAATTATAGACACACTGATGTTGTTAAAGAAAGTAAGACAATATCAATGTCAACATATGGATGTGTTTGGCAAGGTGGATCAGAGATTCAGAGGTTATTATTACGAGGGTGGAAGTTTGCGACACCGAGTGAAGACATTTTCTATGACTTTTTTTTTATTATATAAGATTTAATATATATATATATATATGTGCGCGCGTGCGCGCGCCGTGTATATGTATTTGTTAAATTTTTGAGTTAACCTTATAAGTTTAATATTTTTATATTTTCAATTTAAAAAATTATATCAACTCACTTGTAAATTTAGATTAAATATAAATTCAATTAAACTTACGAGTTTATCTTTAAATTTATCATTTTTACGTTCTTAATTTATAAAACTGTGTCAACTAATTTATAAATTCAAACTAGATATAAGTTTGGTTAAATTTGTTAAGCTCATCAATTTTTTTTAAGTTGAACGAGTTAAGTATATATTATGAAAAATTCAGTTCATAAAAATTATATTACTTAGTTAAAAAAAAAGAACTTTAAATGGAAAAATTAATATTAATAAAAAAGAAAACAAAAATATCAAAAATAAATTTTTTTATTTAAAAATTTTTGTGTCTTGTATATGATAATTTATCAATATAAATAGGTTTAATTTCAATTATTTATATTTTTAATATATTTAAATTAAATTATAATTATATTTTAATAATTATTTATTAATAGAAGTGGATTCCTGCAAATTTATAATTTAAGTCTGTGATATGAGTTTACATGGTGTGTGTCAAAAACAACATAACTCTAGAAACAACATAACTCAACTCAAACTCGGAGCAGCCTACAAAGTCCAAAATTTAACAGTAAGTATAGATATATTCAACTAATATGGCTTTATAAAAAGTGAAGTGAACTTCATATGCTGTACAGATCGTTGACATGGGCATAAAAATGAGGGGCTTGTAAGTATAATTATTAATTAACAAAATTTTTAGTTCCATCAGCCTTGACATGAGTGATTAAGGTCATGCAATCTCTACTTTGAAGATTTGTGTTTGGACTTGTTTGGATACATTTTTAGAATCAATTTTAGGTTCAAAATCATAATTTTAAAAAATTTTATTCAAATACCCTAATTTTTTTAAATTTTATTTGGTTTTCAAAACTTCATTTGAAATAGGCTGAAATTTGTTTCATTTTGAAAAATTAATATCATAATCAATTCTTGAAATTTTATCCAAACACCATTACATTCTAATAATCAATTTTTTTCTTAATCAATTTTTTTCAATTAAAATCCAAACACACCCTTTAACTTTACACTGACTACATAAATGTATAATCTTGTTCAAAGCACAAATCATCATCTTCAATACATTTTTATAAATTTACTGTTTAGCTCAAAAAATATATTTTATAGATATATTTCTATCTTCATCTACAAACCTCAGTATATCATATGCAAGGTATTGGAGCCCACCTAATTATTTAAAAATTTGCCTTATTATTTAATAATAACTCTGCACTCAATAATGGTGTAGCCTCTAGGTTTTGACAAAATGTTAAAAATGATCGTCTGACAAAATCACCTTACTCTGCTTGCTTTCCCGACATATCTATATGGCTAGCTAGCGTCTCATTTTGCCTGGTTTTCAATTGCACATAATGATCATTGAAATATATATCCCTCCGCCACTGTTAAATAAAGTAATATTATCCCTCATTGAAATGTGACTTTAATTAGTCATAATTCTTGAAATTCCTCAAACTATATATAGATTGAAATGTGAGACTTAATTAATTAATACATATCTGCATAAACATTGCTTTGCACTATGTTGAGCAAAAAGAAGTGAATCAAAAAAGAATTAATATATATTCATATAGTAGGTCGCGACCTAAATTATTAATCTGCATAATCTAGCTAGTTATGCAACTGTATCAATTAATAATACATGAATCAATATTTGTGAAGAGGCTTCACAACGAGAGGAAGTCCACGAGAGGGCCTCAAGGAGAGCATGATAGAAGGAGAATGGTGGTAACGAGGTGATACTTCAAAGCTAAACCTAGAGAGAAGTAGGGTCAACACTATCTTATATTCCATGAACGTTAGGTTTCTTCCCACACACATTCTTCCTCCGAACCCAAATGGCAAGTACCCCATGGTGTGCCTGCACCCGCCGTTGACGTCATCCTTGAACCTCTCCGGCCGGAACTCATTCACGTCCGAACCCCATAGGGCCGGGTCGTGGTGCATCGCCACCACGTCGATCCACAGGTTGGTTCCATCCGGCACCGTTAGGTTATCGCCCACTTTGATGTCTTCTCTTGCTTGCCTTTGAACGTTTGGGGCTGGTGGGTATAGTCTCAGAACTTCATTCATCACCCATTTCATCTGCAATAATGTTAATATCACAAATGATCAATTATTAATTAATTACTTGCATGTAATATCTTAATCTTAGACACAGAAGACTGTAAATTTATTACAATCAGGAATCAAGAAATGTTGAAAAAGAGACAATCATGCATGCAGTGTACAGCTGGAAAAAAATTGTCATTCATTGTATTTCATCGGATGACTCTGGGAGATGAAAAAGTGTGTGCATACGTATATATATAAAGTTGTCCGGGCAAAATTTAGAAAAGCTTGTTAGGTACAATAATAACTTTGAATGTGAGTGTATTTAACCAGGTTTAGTTGGCAAAGTTGAATTCAATTTCTTAGCAATATGAAAACGTTACAGTCTTGGTCAAATCAAAATTCATTCAGATAACCTCGGCATTCTTCTTCCTCATTGCGACTTTGTCCGTGTTTATATATAGGCAGGTCAGATCTAGTACAAGGTCTAGACATTTTTAGGTTAAGAGAAATGTGAGCAATAAATATTGAAAGTCAATTTACTAATATTCTATATCTGCAGTCAACTTAATTCTCTGTGAAAGAATTTTCTTCTCAAAATAGTAAATTCAAATATTTCACATATTATTTATAATTGAAATTTTGATAATGAGTAATACTTTAAACATTTAAATAATTTTTAATATATATTATAGAAGACAGATGCGTTTTGGACACATCTAATTCTAGTTGAACAAGCAAATGGATGTACCTTTTCTTTTTTCTTGTCATATTTTCACATTCCTGCAAACTACCATATGGTCCAACCACCCAGGGATCCATAGGCTTTCCATGGTGTGGACCACAGAGAACTTTTCAATTTAATTGGTTAGATATATAATATTTGATGTTCCTTTCAGAGGGTATGTCGTGGACTGAAGACCTTATAATAAGAATCTCCTCTTTCGCAATTCTCATGTATCAATTTTGACCACATCCATATCAGAGTAAAGGAAACACCTAAGCCCGTACTAATTAAAGCTGCAATAAAGAGACTTCAAATTCTGTTCAAACTAGTACACATGGACTAATTGACATAACTATACCTAAACCATGCTCTGACCGATACACACACAAGCTATAAATGAGGGGGAAAGCATTTTATAGAGTCGTCTTCATCTAACCTACTTTTCAATTCTCATCAAAGGAGGCATATACGGTTCTTGTCAATTCAAATCCTGTAAGCTACTGATCTCTACAAGAACAGACTTTAGTAATCCAGTCGATAATGTACTGCTATACTTTTTAAATTTTAAAAGTATATATACGAATTGCTTATAATATCTTCCCGACAATAAACTTTTTTTATAGTTATATCAAAAGATAATTTTCCCAAATTTCACCAAGACTCGACAGTACTTTCAGAAAACAACACAACGTGGATGACAGTATATGGATATAGTGAGAGATGAGGCTTATCTTACCTTTTTCAGCTCAGAAAGCAAGTTGATGTCAAGATCGTCAATGTCATCACCCACAACTTCTCTTATTTCGTGTCTCAACTGAATCTGCCAATCTTGATGCTCGGCGAGAAGCAACAAAGTCCATGTGATAGCAAGTGCTGTTGTCTCGTGTCCTCCGAAGAAGAAGGTTTTACACTCATCAACAAGTTCTCTTGTCGTCAAGGTGTGTTGATTTTCTTGAAGCAAGAGTCCCAGCAAGTCTTGCTCGTGTTTCTTATTCGACACAGTGCTTGTTGATGATGATGAGGAGGACGACTTTCGGTTTTTGATGACAGCTAGTAAGACTCTGTCGATTTCTTTGCCTAGTTTCTTGGCTTCTAGGGTTTTCTTGACGTTCAAACACTTGCCAAATGGAACACCCACGTATCTGGTCGTCATGAAAAGGGTCATTTGGAGGGCTCTTAATTTCTTAAACACTTCTCTTGCATTTTCGTCCTTCATGCCGAAGCTTGTTCTTGCTATGATCTCTCCGGCCGTCGCAATGATCTCGCTTTCGACGTCGATTTCCAGGTTGCCGTTGGAGATCTGGTTAGCCCATCTCTCTACCATTTGCTTTGTAGATTCCACCATCATGCTTGCCATGGCCTGTCACGTTCAAGATCGCCATGTAATTAAAGACAAATAATTGGAATCGATGAATATACCTAGAGAAAATAAAGATAATGATATATCTTTATTAATAATCAAATCTTTTACATTCCTTGAGGAATAATATTATATATTTCTCGACGTGATGATAACAAGAAGGAAAGGTATTTGTCCCATATAATATAGTAAAGAGGAACCTTCCTTTTCTGTTTTGTTTTGGCTGTTTTTCCGGCCACTTTATGTAGATTGTAGGCCTTATAATTTGCTAATGCTACGATTAGCTAGCAGAAAGATTTATTTATCATTCGATCATTTTGAGGTCAGCCATGGCGTGAGCGTAACCTGGTTCGATATCCATTTATGGCAATAAACATTTAACGATGAAGTTTATCATTACCTCAACCTTTTCAATGTTAATCTAAAGTTGTAAAAGTGAGGTTATATGTATCTGAGGAAAGATATAGAGAGAACAGGTTATGATTGGAAAAAACACACACACACACACACACACACACACACACACACAAAACGTAAGTACGTAACAGTTTCTTTTCTTTTCTTTTCTTTACTTTTCTTTTTTTTTGTTGAAAGTCATCCGAATGTGGCAGTCCTCTATATTTGAACTCGAGTTGGGTCAAATTCTAAACAAGAGAAGCTTTTTTTAGCGTGTATTTTTTTAATATCTGAAAGACTGAGTTAAATTTGATACTTTCTTCTTTCACTTGAGGGAAGCTTTATGTCATACTCGTCTCTTCAATTAAACATGTAATTATATGACTGAAAAAGGATTCAAGTTTATTAAAACCTCTTTGTCTTTGGTATAAATTTATGTACTTTTCAAAACCTAACAACAAACACGTGGTTAGGAAAAGCGCATGGATCACTGGTTAATTTGAAACTGATGCTAGCTAGGTTAAATATTCAAAATATATATATATATATATATCACCCAGTTGAGTTATATCTATAGAGAGAAATATACACACACATATACCTTCAAGTTAAGGGGAGAGAATGCTGGAGCAACAACGTGGCGGTGACGAACCCAGTCGTTGCCTTCGACCATGACGAGACCATTTCCGAACATTGGATCTCTGTCGTTTCTGAACACGCTTGGCTTTCCCCATCTCTTGGCCATCACCTCCTTCGACATCTTCTTCAAAAATTCTGGCTCTGCTATGTACAAAAATGGCTCTGTTCCTAACCAGTACACGAACACCTTCCCTGCACATCATACATATATACCATTATTATTTAAATTAATCCCATGCAGAAGAACCCTAGTTTATGTACATATAGGTTTTTGTGTGGCTTACCGTGAGAATTTTGCCAGCGAGAGAAATAAGGAAACACGGTTTGGTGAATATCATGGGAGAGACAGCAGGAGGAACAGTCAAGATAATCAGAAGTATTGATATTATTCTTCGTTATCATCGTCGTCGTCGTAGTCTTCTTCATCTCATCAATATTTCCGAATGGAAAGCTTGGGACTGGCCCAGTGAATCCACATCTCTTGAGCTTTTGATGGGTTAGAAAAGGCAAAACCCACCATGATAATGTTAGTTTCGAGATCAAAAAGAGAGCTAAAGTTGCCATGAAGGCAAGAGCCAAAGCTAAAAACTCCATCTCAGATGGATTCGATCAAAGAGATTAATGAAAAGTGCTGTGTGGATGTATGAAAGTTGGTTGTGAGAGCTGAGAAGCATGAGGAATGGGGTATTTATAGAGGGAGAATGGCGAGAGTTGCCTTTGAGGTTTGAACGACTTAGCGAAGCTTTGAATATTTATTATGGCCTTTTGTTTCTCCTTGTAAATGTGTATCTGTTGAACCTTTCAGACCAACACTTTTTGTTTTTTGAAATGCAATTCGCAGTTTCGCAACACCCTTCATTTAAAGATACTGTATTTCTTAAATTATAAATAATATACCTTTTCTCAGTTTTTTTTTTTTGCCTTTTTCGCCATTCTTTCAACATTTTCCACGTACGCATGTTATTATTGGCTCTACAAAAATTTTACCTTTGAGTATTTTTTCACATATTTCAACAAAATTTAAATATTAAAAATGAGTATAGTGTCAAAGATAGTCTTAATTTTTTATAAGAATATCTGAGTGCAATATGTTTAAATGTGGGGAAATGAAAAACGATCAACATTATTCTCTCCAACAAAGAAAATTATATCTTAAAAAACCTTTTTGATATATTTTTTGATAAACACCGTTTTGATATATTTGAAACTTGAGAATAAATTCCCCTAAACTCTTACATTAATATAACCCAACTAACTTGCTAGATGATAATTTATTTGCATACTCCTCCATTTTTTTTATAAGTTATTTCTACCAATCTTGTTAATACCAATGCAAAAAGAAATACAAGAAATAAAAATATATAAAATTTTAAATATGTCCTCATATAACTAATTCAAAAAATAATATTATGTTATTTTTTTCTCTTATAAAAAGTAATTTTAAAAGTATTTTTTTAAATATTATATAAAAAGCCGTACCGTTATTTATCATTGTAATTTTAAAAATATTTTTTTAAATATGATATAAAAAATCGTATTATAATTTATAAATAAGACCAAATAAATTTTTTAAAACCTGCTTTATGAATGATACCGGATATTTCACTAATGGAATGGGTTGAGCAGGCGCAGCATCTCGCAAACTAGGAAAACACAGCTGGGCCATCTACTGCTTTCAAGAGGGTATAAATATAAATTAGTATGACATCCCATCACTTATTAATCCAAAATCTTAAAATATTAAGTTTATAAGTTTTTTTTATTTATACATTTCTTTCAACCGAACTTTACTAGATATGGTACTTTTTGGATGCAAAGTCAAATTAACCCTCACCTGACAACCCATCTAACAAAAGATATTTCTCTGCACAAATTTACAGGTTTATTCGTACATAACTTAAAGTAACTGCTTGGGACCACGAATAAATTCTACGACGCGATGGCCTTTATATTATGCTTTTTTATTAGTAAAATAACAAAATAATTGACAGCAAGTGATTCTCTGCATAGATTTAAATAGATTTAAATAATGTAAAATTTTAATAGGTTTTTGGTCAAGTTTTCGAAATCAGAAAACTTTAATGCATACTATCCTCTCAGAATTTATTTTATATTACAAAGTCTTTCCAAAATTCCAAAACAATATTTTATAACATTTTTATGTTTTATCTTTAGGGTAATTCACCATTGTTATAATATTTTAAAACATTAAATAAAAAAACAAATTAGATAAATTATAGCATATTTTTACATATTTATTATATTTTTAATATATGTATAATAATTTTATAAGATAAATATAATAAAATGGAGAGGGTATACCTTTTAATTAAAATATGATGACAACTGACTTTTTTGTTTTACTTGTATATTCTAATAATGATACGATACATTAAGTCTGTAGGAATATAATCAGTTTATGACTGAGACGAGAACTCAAACTTGTTTCTCATGGACGAATTAAAGTGAGGCGCAGGCCCCTTGTTGTCCGTACCGACCCGGACCGGTCCGACACCCCCCACCCTCAAAAACAGCTCGATCAAGTTAATTGAACCGTTTAAATAGATGTGTCAGCAAAAAGAGAGCGAGTAAATGGGACGTGCATTTGAAATGATAATAAAATACTTTTAAAATATATAAATAATAATTTAATTTTTTAAAATGTTATAATTTTCTTAAAGTCTTAAAACTTTTTCCGTCATTAATGAATTTATATAATTTATTAAGTTGCCTTTATTAAAAATAAATAACTTACAAGTTTTATTTATATATTCACAATTTTTTCTTACATTCGCAACAATATAACAACAAGTAAAAAATTTAACATTTAAAATTGTGATTTGTTGTGAATATAAGAAGAAAAATTATAAATATTTAAATAAAATTTGTGAATAATTTATTTTAACAAAGAAAATTTGATAATTTATATAAACTTATTAATGATAAAAAAATTCCTAAAGACTTTAGGGGAATCATGATATTTTGAGAGATCAAATTATCATTTATTACTTTAAAGAAATTTTATTATCATTTTTTCTTAGAAAATAAAGGGATATTGTATTCAATTTTATGGCTATAGTTATTTTTTTAAGAGTGCTAAATATTTTGTATTTTTAAATAGGGTAATTTTTGCTTAAAATATTTTTTTAAGATCCAAAAATGCCCTTTTGTTAGAAGGGTGTTAATTTTATTGTTTTCTGTTGACGTGACATGTAGATGGGGCTCACCCATAGTGATAGATGAAACTTTGAGTCTCTGATCATATTTTTTAGTGCTAATTTGCTTTTAATTTTTTTTTCAGGAGTGCTGGACACCTAAAAATTTTTTTCTATGAGCATTGGGTACTTTAAAATCTTATTAAAATAAAATTTAAAAAATATTACCAAAATATTAAATATTTTTATATTTAATAATTTAAATATTATATTTATAAATATTCATTTAAAACTTATAAATTACTTTTAAAAAATTAACAACTCAAACTAGTATTTTAAAAATTTATAGATAATTTCATATTTTTTATATATCAATCTTCAATCTTTTCTCAAAGACACCCAAATCATTACGTCTTTTGTGCATGTGAGGACTTACATATATTTTTAATATTGGTTAAATGTTTTAAATTTTTAGGTTATTTTCTATAATTTTTTTGGTCAGCTATCAATCTTCCTCTAAAATATTATACTTTTCAAATTTAATACTCTCTATATATTATACTGTTAGGAGTAAAATCAGAAATATGACAAATCAAGACCAACAGTATGCCAACAAAAATGTTTATTTGGAAGATATTGCTTATTCCATTAATATACTACAAAAAAGTTACTTAATAAGAGAAAAATGGAGAGATGAGAAGAAAAAATTTCTTCATTAATTTTAAAGTTCATTATTTTCATTTTTAATGCAAAATTGTAAAATATAAAAAATATTAAAATATTAAATTGGGTGGTATATTGTTTTAAATAATAATATTTAAATTATTAATTATTAAAATACTTAATATTTAACAATATTTATTAAATTTTATTTTAACAAGATTTTAAGGTGCCCAGTATAACATCTTGGAGAATTTACACCTTAATTAACTGAGTAAGTAAGGTTAATTAAATAAATTAATGTGGCATATGGTTACAAAGAATTAACGTGTGTTTTAGGTTGTGGTTTCAGCTTTAGGATTGAGTCCAAAGCAAATCAAGCCACCCAAATGTTAAAAGTGAGAAAAAGAAGCAAGAATGATTTTGTACCATCTGCCGTGGCATGTTCACGACATGCTACAACACACCAACCACTAAAAGGCAAGAGTTCCCTCTTTGTACCATATGTCACGGCGTGGTACATGCACCATGGCCTATGGTACATTTTTTACAAAAATAAGAACGTGAAACTGATATAGAAAAAAAAACAAAAAGAGGAAATGAAAGGAACAATAGGAGCTTTGTTAGGGTTTAAGATTTAAAAGTTTTAGGAGTATTTTGAAGCTTTTAAACACTAGAGATAAGTTTCTTAAGCTTAAATATCTCTTTCTCTTACATTTTCTTAATGATAAGAGTTAGGTTTGTTTGAGAGAGATAATTTTTAATTCATAGAAGCTATGGATTTGAACCTATTGACTAAAATAGAGCTAATAGGAGTTGTTTAGGTTATTTAAATTTAACATTTATAGCTCTATGCATTTTTAATTATTGGGAGCTATAAATGCACAAAATTCCCCTATTAATAAGGTGGTTGGTGTAATGGATTTTAATAGCTAGTTAGGAATTCAATGAAGTTAATGAGAGTTAAAGAAAGTTAATAATCTTATGGGTAACTTTATATATATGAGGAAATTAATTTTTGAGAATGTTGAAGTGTGATTAGGTGTTGGAAATTGTCTTAAGGAGGTTATTGATGATTATTGGTGAATAACAGTAAAGTAATCGCGACTTGACACCATTCAAGCTTCATGAAAGTTTTGGAAGTAAGTAATTGAGAGGTAAACCTTTGACCTCTCAAATGTCTAAAGTAACCGAAGGACATCTTCCTTGTACTTTTGTATGTTAACTAATTTATCGATTTAAATGTTAGAATCAAAGTATGTGAATTTATTTAACATACAAGTGTAGCATAAAAATATTTAAAAATTAAATATTATCTTTTTATGTTGTTTTATGACATGGTTTATAATGATTTGGTTATGTGGAGTCTAATCACTATGTGTTAAGTGGAGTTTAATAATGTTAGTGGAGTTCAATAATTATGTATTAATGGAGTTCAATAATTATATATGATGTGGAGTTCCATGATTGAATGTGAAATGTGAAAGTATGGAGTATAATGAAGTTAATAGGCATGTTTAATGTGTGAGACATATGCGTGCCATGAATGTTGATGTTTGCGTATTGCATGATCAGCTAAGGTAAGAGTTCGCCTAGTTAGAGGAATAGTGAATTTAAAATTCACATGGTAAAGCTTTCATTGGAGCTTAATAGTTTGCTTAAATTTATTTATATTTATTGTCTCACATGTTCGACAAGGAATTATTCCACTTGTTTTATGAGGGACTCGAATCTAACTAATTTTTCACTTGTTCGACGAGAGAAGTTAGTTTAGGGAGAATGACACTCTATAGTGTGAGATTTGGAGAAATCGTAACTCATAAGTGAGTTAGGCAACCTTAGTTGGGTAGCTCCTCATACATGAATG